GATCTTTCAACTTGATTTAAAATGAAAATTTTGAGTGAAGCTTGATGTTTTCTTGTTCTTGAAGTTGAAAAATCAGACTAAGGATATTTTGTATCTCAAATAAGCTATGCTATAAGCATTTTGGAGCGTTTTAGTATAATGGAGTCAAAACCAATTACTACACCCATTGAGCCATATTTGAAGTTGAAGAAAGAGGAAGAAAAACTATTGAATAATTCAAGAAAGTTCTAACAACTTGTTTGAAGCTTAACCTACTTAACTATTACAAGACCTGATATTATATATTCTATTAGTGCTATATCTTAGTTTATGTAGGATCCTAGAGTTCTTCATTTAATTGTTGTTAAAAAATCTTTTGCTATGTCAAATGAACTCTTGATTACAATCTTATATACAAGAAAAGTAGAGAATTTCTCTTAATTGGCTATCGATGTAGATTAGGCTGGGAATGTTAATGATCGTAGATCAACTCGACCTATTAATGTTGGTTCAATTGCAATTTCCTGGTGTAGTAAGAAGCAATCAGTAGTTGCTTTTATCAAGCACTAAAGCAAAATATATAGTAGCAACCATGCCTATATAAGAGAATAGTTGGCTTAAAATGAGATATTTTTTCTAAAGCTGACTATGCAGTGCAAATTTATTGTGATAATGAAGGTGCTGTCAAACTTGCTTCAAATCTTGTATTTCATGCAAGAACAAAGCTTATTGAAGTTCATCATCACTTTGTCAGAGAAAAAGTGTTAAGCCAAAAGATAGAATTGAAAGGTGTTGGAACAAATGAGCAAGATGTAGATATTTTTACAAAAGCTCTAATAAAGTCAAAGTTCAAAATCTTTGGAGTTGTACTTGAAATTATTATTGATAATAAGCATGCATTAAGGGAGTGTTAAAATTAGTACACGTTACTAAAACTTATTTTATCGTAATTTTATTTTAATAATCTTTCAGACAAAGTCAAGAGTTTTGAAATATTTTTACGACAGTTTTTACATTTTTTTTATTGTTAGGTTTTATTAATTTATTGAGTATTCTTAAGAGATAGAGTCATGTTAAGAGTTAATTAATTAGTTTTATTTGAACAGTATAACTTTGTAACGATGGAATGTGAAATATATATATATATATATATATATTCATTTCAAGTTGTATTCTAAATAACACTTGATTAAGTAGGAATAATAACATTCTTTCTTAGCTGTTTTTCTTTATCTTTTCTTCTCGGTTCTATAAATTTCTTCTCTTTTTTTTTTTTATAGACATCGGGATCTTGAAGCCGCCGAAATCAGATTACAACTCCTGAAGTTTTCGAACTTAACAGTCGTCGCCTATTCGTCGAGCTACTGCATTCACGCCTAAAATCCCCAGTTGTAGTTCTTCAGAAGTGACATAATGCGACGTCGTTTTAGACATTTCTCTTATACCGATTACCGACATTAAAACGCGAGCGTCTTGAGCGCTGACAACAGGGTGGAGTAAGGTGTATCGCACCTAAAGGGCTCAGTGTTAGGTTGACTGCTGAGAGAATGACACGTGTATGATAGGACTTTAGTCAACCGTAACGCGTTGCGCATTTAGCTTTCAGCTTTCGAGAGGCAGCCTACCTTGGAAAGGTAAACTTCGACATCATTAATTGTTTAATTGGCTTTACTTACCGTCGGATCTACATTAAAAGTACGATCTGACAAAGGAACAAACCATCAGTCTTACGCCACGTGTGTCTGGATACAGACCTGATTCCAACTCGCTTTTTGCAGCTGTAATCAGATGAACACAAACCGACGAGCCTCACGCGCACCCCCAAAAACAAACTGGATTTTCAGCGAGACGCTCCATCATTTTTACTCGAAAAATTACAGTTTCACCTTCCAATAGTATATTAGTAAAACGGAATTGAAACCCAATATAACGTAAACTCATCGCAACTGTAATCAATTTGTTTATTATTAATTGATGGATATATTTAATTAATAAATAAAGAAACTAAGATAACAACTTCATCGGTGTTTTGGACATTTTCTAGATTTCGCAATAATTTAGAAACTACTAATAAAAACAATTAAAAATATGGGTACTAAGTTGGGGTTTTTTTTTTATATTACCTTAGCTTGGTTGTGCTGATTCAATTGATTCCATTTTCTATACTTAGATTGATTAGAATAAGGGAAAACGAATACTTAGTCAATTAGGGATGGATATTTAAACCTAATAATTACTTTCTTATTTTATTGCCAATCCACCTATAAATGATTCTTTTTCTCAGGCTAATTCAATTGAAGTTTAGGAAAAAGAACAGTTTGAAAACTGGTAATGATTTTTTAATGTATCAAAATCCATACAAATATATTATATATATGGATTAATGTCATTAATTTGGTCATTGTATTGTACAAAATTTTTAAATATGGCTTATTATTTTTAAAATAGGTAATGTGATATATGTATTATTATTATGTTTATCAATGTAGGATAACATTCTTAAATAAAAGCGGTTTGATGTGATTGTGTCTATCACCCAATCACATAATGACACATGTCATCTTGTCGAATCATTTTGCTACCACATCAATGAAAATATTATTAAAATGCACTTGCAGCACTTACGTGACACTTACATCTTAACTGTGATTTGATAAAAGTCACATCAATTATTTTGATTGAGGACATTAATTTGAAGTATCAAATTTTATCATATAAAATAATAATTCAAATATCACATTATACACATTTAGAAAAATAAGTGATATATTAAAAATTTTGATAAATTATATTGATCAAATATGAAATTAACTCTATAAATATATATTATTTCAATGTTACTAAAAAATAAGTAGGAACATTGGTTTGTTTTTTTACCGGAAAATTAGTATTGTTAATATAAAATACTTATCATAAATATTAGTACATAAAAAATCATACATTTAATTATTGGCAAGCTTGGGATTGCTCTTTCAAATTCATGTCATGGACACTCTGATTACTCTTTTACGTGAAATTTTTGTTCATGAACCCTAACCAAAAACTCAATTGTCAACCTAATTTATAGACCCATGATTGATAGTAAACCTAATTTAATTATTTAAATCCAAATATCTTTCATGAACCGTAACCAAAACCAACAACTCAAATGTCAAAAATCCAAATGATGAGTTTACCTTTGACAATGAATAAAGACGAATACATAGCAATTTGCATAGCTAATAAAACTCACATCTCAAAGTATTTTTAACAAATGGAGTCATAATTTAAAAATTAAAAAATTAAAATTTAAATTTAAATTTCAATTTATAAGACATTATAATTTATAAATAATTATATAAATTAATTAAGTTAAATTTCAAATTCTATTTCTTTAACACTTTAAGAATTAACAAAAACACTTTCCATGCATTATTATTTTAATGGCTAAGATGCCTTTTTGCAATATATAAAATGGAAAGCAGACCCTTTGATGGATGGAAAAAGAGTAGTTACCATATCATTGCTTCAATTGTGAAGAAAGCTTTGAAGTTATCTCCTACACCTAGGCTACCTACCAATAACAACGACATCATTCTAAATCTAAATCTTTCCATTAGGGACATTAGCTAATCATTACTTTGGTTGCCATAATTTGGCTTTTTATACCCTTACGGCTAATTGTTGCCTATATATATATTTTTTTTGTTTCAAAATTTTAATGATCACTTGTTGCATTAAAATAGGATATAATAATTTTATTATATTTAGTTTATACAAGGAGACAAAGCTTTTCATGTACTAACACCCTAAAATGGGAAGCACCCCACACTCCATCCTATTGTTTATTCAAATATAATTTAATAAAATAAAAAATTATGTATGATATAACAAAGAAAAAATAAATAAAATTTTTTATCTTATGCGTTAGGCCAAAAAAATTAAATTATGCTTAATATAGAAAAAAGAGTTTTAATAAATGGTTGATTTACAAAATAACAAAGATTGTTATATAACTTAATTATCAAAGGAACTTTTTCTTGCCGTACCCATTTATTTTCTCTCTATTAAAAGGAGTGTAAAAGTTACATGAAGGAACTTATACACTTATCGTATGTCTATTTAATTAAAAAAAACAATATAGTAAAAATGGGAAAGTTGCTTCTTGACCTTACATTTTTTTTTTATGATTATTTTTTGAGGTAATTGTTTTTACTATTTGTCACTCCTTATGTAGCAAAAATCCATTGGGTTAAATTTAAACAATCTAATTATAAATAAATTTATCTTTCAGGAATTGTTAGATTTTATAATTTTCGTATTTAAATTATTCAATGAAAATTTACGAAAAAGACTAATAGGAGGGGTAAAAGTATAAAAACAAATACATTATTCTAAAAAGGATACTATTAAATTAACATAATTAATTAAATTAATGATATTAGTTGTATATAAATTTGTTTATAAAGGTTTTTATATCCAACCTAAACATATAATAATGGTTCACATTTTAATTTGTTTTTTTTTTTTACCAACAAACTTGTGTTTACAAATTGAAAAACATGAAATACCTAGTACCTAGCTACTCCACACATACCTCCAAAAAAAAAGTCAATAAACAATGCTGGTAAAAGGAAACCTATCAAATTGTACCTCCCATAGAATTTATGAGGTGTCTATTGTTGCTGAAATCCATGTCTTGCTGTTGGACATACGCCAATGTTGGACCTTAAATAATATTTGGATTTTGGATTAATATAACTTTCGTATCTATACTAATGTTTTTTTTTTTGTCTGTCACAAAGTGAAAGAGGATTGATTATTTAAGGTCACCCAACCGCTAAAGATTTTTTTTAAGTGAAAGAAGGGCTGCGATGAGAAATAAAAGTTCCAATTAATTTTAACCGTACAGATCGTTGACAATTTCCAACGGCTACTTGCAGTTTTTATTTAGTCACTGTAATTACCACTGAAGCAGTAAAACAAAAATTAATTAAAACCCAAAAAAGGATTAAAAAAAAAAAGAAGAAAAGAGAGAGAGAGTGAACAAAATGAAAAAGAAAACGAAAGCTTGCTGCGGAGGAAAGAAGCAAATCTCAACAACAGCCAACCAAAAAAAAAGGGCCAAAGGTTAGTTATTTTACTGTCGTGGACATTCCACTTTCTCTCAGTTTCTCGGGGAGAAAGAAGTCGGAGGAGAAAGAAGTGCGAGAAACTTCGACGTGTTTCCGTTGGAAACCGATCGGTCTGCTCTTTATGTCACCGATCTGAGCCGTGCAACTCTCATTTTCTCAAAGAAGAAAAGGACATTAAATGCCTATAGATCCAGGTGTCTCATTCAACACTCTTCGCATTGTAATTGGCATGTAAGCTCCATTTTTTTCTCTCTTCCAGTTTGAGATCTCAATCGCAATCAAAACCAGCTTCGTTTTACATCTGGAGGCGTTTTTTGTTTGACTTGGGATTCTTTGGTAAGCCCAAGGAACTTGAAACTGTACTTTTCAAAAATGGTGAATTAATTTCCGCACTCTAATTTTAAGCAGCGCTGGTAAGGCTTAGCTTGGCGGTTACTGGTGGCTCAAAATTTTGAGTTTTGGCTTAGGGTTTTGCTTAATGAAGCTGTTAAATTGATGGAAATTTAGGGTTCGGAGGTTGTGTTACGTTATGAGCCTCTCAATTTGGTCGTTGTTGTTCAGTTAACGGTGCTGAACCTCTCCTTTTGGAATGTACAGTCATTTCAGTTATTCTCAAAATATTGTCGATTTATAAAGATTTCTCTCACGTATTCTATTTTAGAAGTAGGACTTGTGCCCTTGTTAGGGTCATTTGGAAGTTGACTGCATTTGTTAGTTGGAAACACAAAAAGGCGGCGAATTTGGAGTAAATTATGGGGCAGGATGGCTGCTTAATTTTTAGATACGTGGAGAGATTGCGGTGATTGTTTCAGAAGGGTAGATTAGCGAAGTAGAGATGCCTCCTTCTCCAGCATTGAGATACTCTCCAGGGAGGGAGCTGAGAGGGGAAAACCACAAACGAGGGCGTAGTTTGGAGAGCGGGTTGATTGTAAGAGAAAAGCATGATGACCTTGCTTTGTTCAATGAAATGCAGTCCAAAGAAAGGGAGAATTTCTTGCTTCAGTCTTCGGATGACTTTGAAGACTCATTTTGTAATTTTCTGCTTTGACTTTTCATTTCAGTTATTTGGCTTTATTTGCTCTTGAATTAATGAATAGAAATCAGTGTCTGCATCTAACCTTTCTGTTTGTTTTCTTTGGTTTTGAATTATCATTTACAGCTACAAAACTGAAATATTTTTCAGATTTCAAGCTTGGAATTTCCGTTCCTGTTCGAGGAGAGACTAGTGAACTCCTTAATGCAGACGAGGAGAAAAATGACTACGAATGGTAGGTCCTGGTTTCCGCTTCAAGATTTTGGAACCTTTTGTTTTAAAACCATGACATGTGAAGCCTTTTGGTTGGTAACTAAGCAGAAATAGTAACATAATCTGCATGTAATTGGTGCTGCTGCTGCCTATGTTCAGTGTATGTCAGAATAAGTCATTGCTAATTGCCAAAGCAAGCAGTTATTATTATGTGATCATTTTTATTTCATTCATCTCTTTTATCGTGCTATTGAGCTGTTATCTGTACTTTTCGAAGTTTTTGGTTCTGACAAAGTGTCCATCTTGCTGATTTTGAAGGCTATTAACTCCACCTGACACCCCACTTTTTCCTTCACTGGACAATGAGCCACCACCAACTAATGTTGCCAGCAGGGGTAGACCTCGAACTCAACCCATTTCCATATCAAGATCCTCCACAGTAGGTTATCATATTACTCTTATGGAATGCAACTATGTGTATTAATGTAACTATGAGCATTCTTTCTAGGTTTTCTATTGAAACTCTTAGCTTAATCTTTCAAAATATTTGCCCTATATCGTCTGTGAAAAATATGCAGATGGACAAGAGTCACAGAAGCAGTAGGGGCAGTGCAAGTCCAAATCGTTTAAGCCCATCACCTCGGTCTGGGAATAGCACATTCCAGTCTAGGGGAAGGCCATCTTCAGCATCTCAGTCCAGTCCAGTACGTCCAGCAACTCCAACCCGGAGGCCATCTCCTCCCCCTGGTAAAAGTTCTGCACCTGCTCGAAGGTCTTCTACGCCTACCCCTCGAAGGACAAGCTCAGGCTCCAGTGGTATTGTGGCCTCATCAGGGGTAAGGGGAACTTCTCCTATTAGGACAAGTAGAGGAAACTCTTCATCACCGAAAATAAGGGCATGGCAGTCAAATATCCCAGGTTTCTCCTTAGAGGCACCGCCTAATCTTCGTACTTCTCTGGCTGATCGACCGGCATCATATGTGAGGGGTTCCTCACCTGCATCTAGAAATGGCAGGGACGCAAGATTTGGCAGGCAATCAATGTCTCCAACTGCCTCTAGAAGTGCAAGTTCATCACGTAGTCATGATCGAGACCAATTGAGTTCATACAGTAAAGGTTCCATAGCATCATCTGGTGATGATGACGTAGACTCTTTACAGTCTATTACTCTTGGTGGATCAAGCCATTCAGTCACAAGGAAGCTTGGTCCATTCCCAAATAACAAGGCTCCAACCTTTAACAGGAAATCAGCTAGAGTGTCATCACCAAGTTCTGCTCCAAAACGATCCTTTGACTCTGCTCTTCATCAAATGGTATTTTATTACTTTTCTTTAGGTCAATTTGCTTCGATTATGGCAGTTTTGGTCCTTGTACAACTATTAAAATATAAGTAGTTAATTTGTTTGCTCTAACAATTGCTTAGTATTCTGAACCTGTCCTGCATTATCTGCTACTAGTTTATTTAATTCCATTCTGACTGCCATCCAGAAAAGGAAATTAAAGAAAAAGCAAAGTGCTTCTCTTCCAATCCTTTTTACTAATATGGTATAGATTTTGTCAGCGGTAATAATGGAAGAGATGTGAAAGTTCAATGCAAGTACTTAACTGTTTTCATTTTCATTGGAATGTAAATCTGCGCGTCTTCGTCCAGAAGTATATTTTCAAATTCCTATGTCATATGTGAATTCAATGCTATATATCTAGAGGTGGCAACCATGATGGTATAATTTAAAATGATGTGTTTGATGTGCTTCTGCTAGTTAGTAAGAATTGTGCATGGAATTATGGTCTGACTTAATTGCTGAAATGACTATGAAGTTTTCAGTTGGATAACTATTGAAAACTTCATTGTTTAATATTAAATTGGCATGTCCAAAAGGGGGAAAGAAATTCAAACTCTAAATTTCCTATTTAATTTAGTGAGTGCATTCTCTAAATCGCAGTTTATAAGTAAACTTTTGATTGCAATAAGCATTCATTTGATGTGCTTTAATGTGTTAAATCACTCACAATTTTTAATGCATTCTGCATACTCTATTTGTACTAATAAGCAAAAAGAAACTAAATTAAAGAGAACTGTGGCAGAATCCATGCACTGACTTGTCCTCCACCTTTCGTGCGTGCACTTGCTGTCATTTAGAAGTGTTCATGCATATCATCAATGCACATCTTATAGTTTATTATAATCAACATTTTGATACAGGATCATCGGAAGAGTCCTCCTAATATGTTCAGACCTTTACTGTCTAGTGTTCCAAGTACCTCTTTCTATGTTGGGAAGGGAAGTAGTTCTGCACATCGTTCTTTGGTGTCAAGGAACTCATCTGTTACCACCAGCGGTAATGCAAGTTCTGATCAAGGTATAAGTGCTGTGCTTGATACTGAAGGGAGTGACCACCGACATGTTGATATGGCAAGTGAATCTGAAATGGGACCTTATGCTGATGTTCAAGAAGAAGTTTTTGCCTTCGATAAGATGGATGTATTAAACCAGGATGCTAGCTATGATAGACGTGATGGTTCGCTTAATATTCTTATTGAAGATGCTGATAGAGACTCTGCAATTCAATGTAACCCTGACAACTCTAAGGACTTAAGTCACCATGGTCTTGAAGTGGAAATGAGTTCAACTTCTGATGCTTTATGTGACAAGGGTGATCTTTTGGAAGTTGATAGTTTTGAAAATACAAAAATTTGTTCTAAATGTGGTTGCAGGTATCCTGTTACTGAACAGGTTGAAGAAGAAATCAGTCTTTGCGCAGATTGTAGTAGGCAACATGATTTTGTCGCTGGAGACATCTGTGATTTGACAACATTAACTGCAGTGAACTCCCCAGCATTGTCTATGAAGATTTCTGAAGAAGATAAACCATTTCATAAATTGGAAACCTCACTTCCTACATCTGATTCCCCATTGCAAATTACTGATGCAGTTGAACCCTGGATTTCTAAGCAAGAAGAAAATATCAAGCAAAGAGAAAATTCTCTTGGAATGTGGGCTGAGAGAGGTGAGCAGAGGCTGTGTTACCATCAAGAGATGGACCAACCTACCATTGGTCATTGCCTACCTGATAGGGACACAGGAGATCAGCAGTTGCAGCACTCTGGTGAGCATTCTGGTTTTAAGGTTAACACCTCAGAACTTGCAGGCATTTCAGTGCTGTTAAAGAGGTCAAGCAGCAGCAAGGGGCCGGTTGTTCAAGGTAGGACCTTTGCTACCGTAACTTATGAAGATCTGTCATATGCAAGAGACAGTTCTAACAGTTTCAGAAGCTCTATTGGACATGGCAGTATCTCTGCATCATCCTCTGTTGATTTTAGCTCATCTAGACAAACAGATACACCTGTGCAACGGCAGTTAAGTGGTAAAAAATCTGAGTTGGAGTATTGCAGATATGAAATGAATGCAAAGCCTCTAAGCTTTGCTTTGCCTTTGTCTCAAAGTTCAAGCAATCATTTAAGTCTTGCAACAAGCACAAATGAAGAAAATTTTGAGGGTTCTGTTGGCTGTCTGAAATTTGACGAAGCAGAGGAAATAGCTGTAGTTTCACAAGCCAAAGTGGTATCTTCTGAAAATTTAGAAGCAGATTCATCATTCGCTGGTGCTGCTGTTCCCAAAAAAGATGATATTGAGTGGAATGAAATTAGTAGCACAAGTGATGCTTTAACTTCAGAGCTATTAGAGGATAATTCAGCACCACTATTTCATCCCTCTGAAGACTGTGTTTCATATAAAAATGGAGATAACTTGCCAAGTAATGCCAGGGTTGTCTCTGGTGTTGATGCATCATCCATCACTCAATATCCTACTCTTGAAGAATGTAATATGCTGAATGCTACTCCTGATGGAGTAGATGCTGTTGAGGCTGCTGGCCACAACTCTTTGGCTAAAATCTCAGAAATAGAAATCGAGAATTCCAGTCAGAGTACCTGCAGTTCAGAACTTGATGGCTTTTCTCCAAATTCTGAGAGAAACAAGAAGGCATCCATGGACCTATCAGTTGCCATACCTTCAGATGTGGATACTACAGCTTCTGTTCAGGACCAAAACACATCAGATCATGCAGATGGCATTTTAGGTATGTTAATTATTTCGTGGTGACTTGTTATCTATTTTGGGCTTTCAACTTTCCTTGAAGTAAATTTTCACTTCCCTTCTTGAGAAATTTTTAGGTATGTCAAATACAATTTTAATAAACAGTTAATGATGCAGCTATGTTTAATCCTTTATGAACTATCCATGCTACTCATTTTAAAAGTTAGCAATACCTATTTGTTCTTCAATTGTTGCTGCTTTCTTGTAGTTTTATTGATAAGAATAGTAAATAGCAACAACAAGAGCTATAAGTTTCTCTCTTGTCCTATTTGTTACCAGTTAAGGTGTGAATGCATAAAAAATATCAAATATAAAGTTTAATGCTACTTTGTATGATGTGATATAAGAAAAGTGATGGCAAGGTTTAATGGAATTGGAATGAAATGATTTGGCCATTTACTATTCTTTTTTTTTTTTTTTTGGGATAAGGTCCATGTTTATCACTCTACTTAGGGTGATAGATCCAATCTACCACTTACTTTTGAACAAGTACAATTTTAACAGTGTACTTTTAATTTGGTTTAAAGTGGTCAAAAATTAACTGTAAAAGGAATATTACATAGAGAAGAAAGGACTATTCAGAAAATTTATTTGCTGATAATTTTTGACCATTTTTCAATCAAATTAAAAGTAGTGTTAAATTTGCATCTGTTAAAATATGAGTGGTAAATTTGGACCTTATCCCTTTTCTTTTGCTCTTTTAAACCATCTCTTATTCATGTCTACTGCTTCCCACCCAACCTGACAAATGAACATGATAAACATTTAGATACTGCCAGATTACTTTGTTCTTTGTGGCCTTTCTACTAAAAGTTATGCTCTGGGAAGAAGCAGGTTTGAGGGTGGTCCTGGTTCCAAAATCTGTTTATTTCAGTTTGAGTTCAGTCACAACTTTCATAAGGCTTTTAGGCTATGAAGGATCTTAATTTAGTTTACCAAATTTGTCACAGCCAATTACTTAACCAATTTTGGGAAAGCTGTGGATAAGGCAATTACTGGTCTTATAGTGGATGTGAGGATAGCCTGTTTCCAAGCCTTGTTTGTTTCGAATGGAGTTTGTTTGGCTTCGATGAGAGATGTGAAGTTGGAAGCATCTTAAGTATATTTTACCACCAAAGAATATGTTCCCATTTCGTGATCTTAAGAGAAATATTTATATGGCAGTTATTACCAATAATATTTTATAGATGAAGGTTATCATTGTTCACTAAATCATTTTTATCATGGTTGTAAAAGTCAAGTATTCTTTCTCCTCCCCTCTCCTTAACCCCAAAAAGGTGAAAATGATAGACAAGCATGTTAAATGTCTCAACATTGTACTGACATGTAACAAGCTCAATTTCTTTGATTACCCTAGTGCAATTGATCTCAGCTATAGAGACTTTGAAGGTACATCAAATGTAAGTCTACCAAAGGCTACTAGCATGTTGCCATGATGGTTTTAATGACATTGTCCTCCTATCATATATCCTGAATGACTTTGTCCTCTGCTGTGCTGCCTTCTCTTTTAATGGGAATGGTTTTCTTCGCAAAAGTGCTGTAATTTTTAATGGTGGAAACTATTGCATGCTTTGCAATGAATTTTTCCCATAGATCCTTGTCTTGGTGTCATGTTAGATCTTCCATTTGCCACCATGCCCTTGTTGTCAGTATGTGCACTGCCAAACTAGTGTAAAATTTTGTTTACAATAATTTTATACTCTTTTTGATACCTAAGGATAAAATAGGCCTTTTATGCTGATGAGTGGCAGAGAGATTGTGTTAGTCTCTGATGACCTTTTATGCTTTTTAACAGAGTCAACTGTCTTGGTAGAATGTCATGGAGGAAGTAAGGCCAGAAGCCTGACACTTGAAGAAGCGACCGACACAATACTTTTCTGTAGTTCCATTGTCCATGATATTGCCTACCAGGCTGCAACCATAGCCATTGAAAAGGAAAGTTCAGTGCCATTGGAAGGTTCCAGGCCAACAGTGACAATCTTGGGGAAATCCACTTCTGACAGGAAGGATCTACGAGGGAGAACTGTTGGTCGAAGGACTTCCAAATCTCATAAAGCGAGGCAGAGGCGGGTAGAAACCGATGTAAAATCTCCGTCCACTAAGACTGAAAATGATGAGAATGCTGATGAATCTTCAATTTGCAACGTTGGTCTTCCTAATGAGGTGGACAGTATGAAACCTCCAAAGCTAGAATCCAAATGCAACTGCTCAATAATGTGAGAAGAAGTCATTCATTCAGACCAAACATGGATGTCTCCACCAGCCTCGACATGATCATATTTGGAGAGATTGGCAAGTGCTTTGTAATTTAATGATTTTGTGTTCTAAAGGCTGTTTGAATTTGTTTCCAATCGGTTCCACCTGATGTTGGTGACATAATTGTAAAGTTGTTTATTAGTAAATTTCTTCTAGGTTGATATTAAAGAAAGGGTAGTGGGGGTTTCTATTTACTTATTCCTGTTTGTTTGGGGTCCAGTCCTCCCTTGGAGAAAGTGTGAATTAAAGACCCTTACTCTCATTCATAGAATCATATTCATTATTATCATTATTATCATTATTGAAAATATAGCTCAATTTGCTTAGCTTCTCCTTCCAGGCAACGTCTGCTTCTGTGCTTTGTATAGTTTGTGGGCTCATAATGTTAATTTTTATGAAAATTGCTCCTGTTTTCAAACTATTAAGAATTTTGAATAGATCTTCATCAATGGTAGTTATCTTTTTTATTTTATTTTTTAATCAATTATTTTATTATTAAAGTTTTTAAATAATAATTTATTTTCGAATTATTATCCTATACATAGAGTCCAAAGACTTCACAAGTCAAGTGAATCTCTTTTTGTATCATGTGTGTTTTTTTTTTTTTATTGTAAATAAACTTTATGTAATTTTGTTAATATTCGGGGTAAAATATTTTTTCCAAATTAAAATAGAAAACAAAGAGAAAAAATTTTGCAGCGTTTTTAGAAAAAGGTTAGGCTTGGGTTTGAAACCAAACATTGGATATTCAAAACCACAAGGGCCCAATAGCTCAAGGGTAATTTAGACATTTAGATTCTGTACATTAAAATAATATAAAAATCCTCCAGGCGGGAAATTTTAGCGCAAAAAACTTAAAGCGGCTGAGCTCTCTCTATCTGCACACAGTCATTCATCACCTGTCTCAGTGACCCAATCTTCTACATTTGACACCCATGGACTCCGATTCAGACTCCGATGGCTCACATATATCCGCCACTCCTCCACGAGAACCACTCCTGCCTCCGAGGCGGCCGCCGCAACGGCCTCCAAAACCTCTTACCTCCCCCTTCAAATCCACAACAAAGATCAAACCTTCCTTTCATTCAGATACCATTTCCAAACCCAATAAACCATATTCGAAACATGCTAAACCCGAGCCAGAACCGGGACCCAAACCCAAAGTCAAACCTATTCAACAACCGGGCCTCGCTTCTCCGCTCGGCAATTTTCCCTTCCAGATCCGCCGTCCATCCGATCAACCCCAACCAATCTGCACCGGCCGTTCCCTCGAAACACTCCCTGCTGGTTTCTTCTCTACGCACCGGCCCTCCTTCTCCAAAATCCAAAAACCTTCCCTCAGTTTCGAACCCCTAACCACACCAGAAATAACTGCCGAACCTAAAATTAACGGCTCTGATTCCTCAGGTTCCACCAACAAGAAGTTTCCTAATTTGATCAGAGGAGATGCACCTTTACCTCCAGTTAAATTACAAAGGCGCAGCGAAGAAGGTAACTTCGTGAAGCTCAATTTCAATGGCTATAAACGCAAGTTCACAACCAAAGGTAAAAAGACGAATAGTTACTCTTCCAAATCAAAGTATTTCAAAAGAAGCAAGAGAAGAGTCAAATCCGAAGTCGATATGGAGAGCATTTGCGACGAAGAAGGTTTAGTTTCGGAAATTAAACAACAGCGTAAAGCAGAGAAAAAGACTAGGTGCGAGTCGATCGAAGCGGCGGTTTCGGCGGTTCAAAACGAGGCGTCGGATGATACCCTGGTGAGGTTGTTGAAAGCAATGTACGGCTACGAATCGTTCCGTAATGGACAGGTGGAAGCGATTAAGATGGTGCTTGCTGGCAAATCAACGATGCTAGTTTTGCCAACTGGAGCTGGGAAGTCGCTTTGCTATCAGATTCCGGCGGTGCTGTTGCCGGGAATTACGTTGGTTGTGAGTCCGTTGGTGGCTTTGATGATTGATCAGTTGAAACAGTTGCCTCCCATGATTCGAGGCGGTCTCTTGTCTAGCAGTCAGGTAGGAATCGAGTTATCTGTCTCTTTAGAGATTATAGTAATTGATAAATGGTGTAATGTGGTCATGGTGTTTTTGCATTGAAATAGGGACCTGAAGAGGCTGCCGAGACACTAAGGCTGATTCAAGAAGGGAGCATAAAAGTGGGTTTTATCCACAATATTGAAATTTTTTAGTCCTAGACTTTTTAGAATTTTCCTTGATGAATATTTTGTAGATTGGAAATTTGAGTTGCATTAGTGCCCAAAAGCTGATGTCTTTATGGCTTGTGTTTTAGGTGCTTTTTGTTTCACCAGAAAGGTTTATGAATGCTGACTTTTTATCAATATTTTCTGCTACTGCGTTTGTATCACTTGTTGTGGTTGATGAAGCTCACTGTGTATCTGAATGGTGAGTGGTCGAACTATCTTTGTTCTTGGTTATTGTTGGTTATCCCTTCACTTCCCAAGGAAACTTATTTTATATCACATAAAAGTTTTGCATATATTGAAATGAATTTAATATAATTAACAGGTCACATAATTTCCGGCCCTCATACATGCGACTTAGAGCATCTTTACTACGTGCCAAACTCAATGTTGAATGCATTCTTGCAATGACTGCAACTGCCACTACCACAACTTTGCATTCTGTTATGTCAGCACTAGAGATTCCTTCAACCAATCTCATTCAAAATGCACAATTAAGGGATAATCTACAGTTATCAGTGTCTTTGAGTGGCAATAGGCAAGTCCCATGGTGCTCTTTTATTTTAGTTTTACTCACGGGTTGGGTTATCCTATGAATCTTTAATATACTTCTAATAGTTTGAACATTATAGAATGAAGGACATGCTAAAGTTGATGAAGTCCTCTCCTTTTTTGGAAGCTCAAAGCATTATTGTTTACTGCAAATTTCAGGTGATAATGGTTTTCTTTTGAATGTTTAGAGTCCATGGTTCTTATCATTGCTGAATGATGTTATCTCTTCTCAATTGGCTATCCATGCTTAGTTCTGAGCAGTTGTGTTTTTGGATAACCTAATTTGTGCTAATTCTGCAAATAGCTTATAAATTTAGCATGTTCTGAGACTAAATTTACCTGGAAGGGAAACAAACGGTTTCTGAAATGCTCCTGATCTCAGATTGCTCTGGCTATTACTTTTATGCAATCAATGTATATTTCTCAGGCCATTAGTAATTTATACTTGCACTGGATTTTGCAGTCTGAAACTGATCTGATAAGCAGGTACTTTAGTGATAACAATATCTCTGCAAAGGTGAGTATTTTTATATTTTCAGTTGTAGTTGTGTGACTTTTTCAATCAGACTATAAGTTCTGGTAAGCTTATTTTTAATGCTTGTGTAGAGTTACCATAGTGGTATGCTGGCAAGAGATCGCATCCGCATACAGGAGTTGTTTTGTGCTAATAAGATTAGAGTGGTGAGAATTAATCCTGATCTAGTCTCACTGGAATATAGAATTCTGTACTGAACATATTTATTTTCCTTTTAAATCCTTTTTAATAGTTATAATGATTACCTCAATTATCATCTATCTTTTGTAAGGTTGTTGCAACTGTGGCATTTGGCATGGGGCTTGACAAGAGGGACGTTGGAGCTGTAAGAAGAAAGACTTTATTTATAAGTTTTGTAGTTTCTCTGCATTATATTCACATTAAATCTAGTCTAGGTTGCCTCTTGGACTCAGCTCAAGTTGTAAGGGTGCGATGGGATTTGTGTGGTGGTCCTAGGTTTGAGCCACAGTGCTCCCTCTTGTACCAAAAAAAATCTAGTTTATTTTTTGGTGCATTAATGAATTAGAATATTGTAACAGTGTACTGGTTTTGCGTTATAACTGATGGTATGTGAAGAGATAAGGCACTGCCGCTCCTATCTACTCTAGTTTTCCTATTTGTCATCTTCACTGAAGTTTGTCCCTACCCAGCTCAAAGGCAGATTAGTAAGTGGAAAATTGTTAAAAGAATCAATTTGGTTTAGGTCTTCGGGAATCATTGATGCCTATATGATCGAATATAGGGTGGTAATTTATTTGTTATCCTTCTGGGCTTGGGGGCACACCATTTTCATTTTGTGGACTTCATCTTGTATCTACAGACATTTGCTAGGCTCTCCTGGCTTACATATCCTTCTGCTGCAATATGCTTGCATTAAGCATTGGAACACCATTTGATAATAACAGAAGTGTTTTTTTTTGTTGAATTTGTTTCAGGTAATTCATTATAGCTTGCCAGAAAGCTTGGAAGAGTATGTACAGGTCGATATTTGCTCTTTAACTATTAGGTTTTAGCAAGGCATTCTGTATCTCAGTGTCTGCTAAATGAAATGAATAATCACCTCATGTAGGAGATTGGCCGTGGTGGACGAGATGGGAGATTGTCCTATTGCCATCTCTTTTTAGATGACATGACATATTACAAGCTCCGTAGTCTTATGCACAGGTGTTTAGCATTAAATTTATCTTTCATGAAGCATTTATTGAAAGGATTCAATAATTCTGGAACTGATTTACATTTTTTTTGTTGTCAGTGATGGAGTGGATGAATTTGCAGTAAACAAATTTCTTTGTCAAGTTTTTGCTGATGACACAAATTCACGGGGGAAAGTTTGTTCATTAGTGAAAGAATCTGGATCTCGCAAATTTGATATGAAAGAAGAGGTTCTCTCTTCTATCATGCTGCATGAACTTCCAGAATTTTCGGTCTAATATTTTCTGTAAAAAAAAAAATATCTATGTAATCAAAATATGTGATTCTCTTTAAACATTTGTGCTAAGATTTGGGGTAGGCTAGTCTTACTCTATCATGATTCTTGTTTTCTTTTCATTTTTCAAAATTATGTTGGTAGTCTGACATTCAGCAAATTATTGACTATCATTCATCTAATCTGTTGCTTACAGGTAATGCTCACACTCCTAACACATCTGGAGTTGGGCGAAACACAATACTTGCATCTGCTTCCGCAGCTAAATGTTACTTGTACACTGAATTTCCATAAGGTAATGAATTTTCAAATTTATGTCATTTGTCTCAGACCTCTGTTAAATATCATAAGCAATTAGGTTGTGGAGTTTTTTTAAGCCCTTAAGGGTCTTTTTACTGAAACTTGGTGGCTGTGAAGTGAGCTATTAACTAAAGATTGAAATCATTGGCATATATGCAGACTTCCCCAATATCACTTGCTGACAGGGATACTGCAGTAGCTGCCATTTTGAAGAAGTATGTTTTCCATGCTTGATTATGTAGAACAGCATTTCTTCTTTCAGGCATATACCTCCTGGCATAGAGAGTCATGCTTTATCAAATTTTCAGGTCTGAAATTAAGCAAGGGCAGTATGTGTTCGACATACCCACTGTGGCAAATAGCATTGGGGTTGCACCTAGTGACCTATCAAATCACTTGCAGAATCTTAAGGTTGGAATTATCAAAAGAAACTAGGTCTTGTTGATTCTTATACATGTTTATTTGCATGTGTGAGTGGCAGCCACACTTCATTTATTACTACTCAATAAAAAATCAAAGTCATTTTGAATTTTCATTGTCTGCCAATTATTAACGATATAATTACAAGAGACCATAAATCCTGAGGTTAAGACATTAGTTATGCTCTTCCTGCCCAGATTATCTTATGAAGCTATGAGTTACTTGCATGAAAAGTTATGCATTATGGTTTGTTAAGATGACAAAAAAACATATACACTGAAGGTGACAGCATCAGCAATGGTTCTGTTGATGTGCTTTATTTGTACACTGGAACATAATTATGGCTTCAATTCACTTTTCAATAACCTATCAGCAATTGTAGAAAACCCAAAACTCATTTACAAGACAGTATAATAAGCTTGTTTTCAATCTAAGTGCTATTTTTCTGTAGTTATATGTGATTGCTACACTGCTTTTTCAAGAAAAATGATTTATAACGATTCATTTTTTCTTCCTTTTGTTACTGGTTTCTTGTCAGTATCAGTCTTATTTTTTGGTTTCTTGTGTATAATTTGGAAGCAGTATAATTTTTCATCTTATTCTTTCTGGGGTTATCTTAGGTAAAGGGAGAAATAACATATGAGGTCAAGGATCCAGCCTACTGCTATAAGATTGTCGAGGTTCCTAGTGATTTTTGTTCTCTCTCAGCACTTCTTACCAGATGGTTATTGGATATTGAAAATTGCAAGGTAATGCCTTAATCATTTAGAAGTTAGCAAATTCCATAGTGTATTGGATTTTTTCTCTGGGGACATTTTGAAAAAAGATCGTGCTACTGAGATCATAGTCATATAATGTGGCAGTTGCTGTTTCTTGACTTGTTATAACAACAATGATGTGGTTATAAAGCAGCCTTTCTCCATGTTTAAGTTATGAAGTACTCTTCTTGTTCTACACTTATGGCAAGCAATATTAGTATAATGGTGGATGTTGTTTTCATTGCAACCAACATATCAACTTGTTGGCAGTGTTAATTTCCAGTTGACTTCTAATATACAGGCTTTAATACTTCTCTTTAAACATTTTTTTCTGATCTTTTATGTTTTAACTTGGACTGAAATTTCCACTTTTGAATCAGGTATGGAAATTGGATGCTATGTACAGTTCTGCAGTTTTTGCAATGGATACATGTGAGACGACGCATGGTTGCGATGTTGCCCAGCAGACATCATGCTTGCAAAAGAAGATTTTAGATTATTTTGAGGGAGACAATAATCATGATGTCCTTGATAAGATGGGTCACAACAGGTAGATACAAATTCTTGGTCTTTGGCTTCAAGACAGCAAAGATGAACAGTTAACAATGGTCCAAGATGGTTCTTGAGTTCAAATTTAAATCCATATGAATAATGTGCCTGTTCAAACTATTTTTTTTTTTAATTTTTCATGCTGAATATGTCACCTGTTTCCTTCTTTCTTGTAAGTTTTATTTCACCATAATGATAGGACTATCATGTATGTTTGCAGCCCTTTTCTTCGAGCAGATATAAAGGTGAGATTTGTACAGCCAATGCAATTCTGTTCTCAATGGTACTCATGTTTGGTAGTGTTACAACATTTCATCTGCTTTGGTCAAATAGGTCTTTCTGCAGGGCAACTCACATACTAAGTTTACTCCAAGAGCTATTGCAAGGATAATGCATGGCATTGGGAGCCCAGCCTATCCTTCTTCAACTTGGTCAAAAACTCATTTCTGGTATCTTATATATTTCCCTTGGCATTAGTTGTTTTTTGTTATTTTTGGAGGGACCCAACACCGTTAATCTCTGGTGATGGTCAAGGAGCCATTGAACAATCCATTTGAACATCTTGAGCAAATCATAACATCTGATATCTATATATATATTTTTTTTGAATTACAATGCTGCTATCTAGGAATTGTCAACATCAAGAGTAGTTGCAAATTTCTTCTTTCAGCATAATTGAAGATTGAATCGCTCATATGATAGGCTGTTTAGACAGATTCTCGGGCCAAATTTTGTGTCCACTGCACCACATGACCCGTTATATACATGAAAGGAATGTCCATCCGTTTCTAGATGTTTCCGCAAAGATTTTTACGGTTCCCTAGAAACTAGAATAAATAATTAGTATTGGTTTCACATTTTTCTTGGAATCGTGCCTGATAATTCTATGAAGTCTTGGAACAGCCGGGTGGTGCAACAATAAACTGGACTTGTTCAAATGTCACATGATGTGGGCTAAATTCAGGGCTTTGTTAAACTTTCCATTTGAGACAAAGTCTAAGGATAGTTCATTGTCAGCCATTTGCTTTGACAGTGTGCTTCATCAGTGGGTGGCCATGGTTTTATAATCTTTTTCATTAAAGTAGAGGCCGAGCTGATTATTCTATTTCTGAGTTGCAGGGGAAGGTATACACAAATAGATTTCAGGGCGGTAATGAACGCAGCAAAGGCGGAACTCATGAATCTTGTTGGGAAAGATGCACCTTAGCTGCTTAGTGTCATGTTTAATATGCAAGCATCTGAAATAAAGAGCGATATCCAGGTGCAGGTGGTTTTTTTTTTTTTAGTTATTTTTAAGTTCATTACAATTTACATTTGTCCAGCTATTTTTTAAGTTCTAGAGAATTTCTCCTGTAGCAGGTGTTTCTGATACTTCTTTTTGCATAATGCTTTGGTGGTTTAGAAGTGGGTGTGCAGAACAGAGAAAACACGATACAGAGGCAATTACATGCCAGGTGTAATTTTATTTGGCAGGTAAACTTCTTCACCCTTCTTCCATTTTTGGAACTTAAAAGCGTTTTGCTTAGTCACCTTTTCTATATGTCTGCATGACTTATTTAAAAGAAAATTTGGAGTTTAGTTTAAATGATTCATTAATCTTTTTTAAAAAGTAAATTTTTGCAAATTTGAAATCCAATTCTCAGCTACTTTGTGTATATATATATATATATATATATATTATCCTTTTGCGTTTAATTTGGCTTCAAGAATTGGAGCATAATTGTATCATAAGATTCTTGAGTAGTCATTCCTCTTCATTTTCTATGACATTTTCGATCCGTCCTTGTCTTACAATAAAGATGAAATGAAAGAAAATTTCAAACTAAAAAGGAGGAAATTAGAGAATCCCTTGGCTGAAATGGGCATGCTTTACAACTGATCTAATACATCAGCGTACATGATCATGCAATTATCAGGATGGAATATTAGATACTCAAAACAGATAGTGATTGTGCATTTGCTTACAGCTGGCGGCATCCGGCATTAGCATTTAGGCTGCTTCAGATAATCCCTACATTGACAATTAATTTCAAACCAGAACATCCTTTTATGCAGAAATAATTGAATTTGACATTTGAATTTTCCTCTTTTATCTTTTCTGCAGCCTGCATATATGATATCTCCTACCCCACCATGAGAGGGCTGGGTGGTGAATTGAGCGGCTGTTGGAGAACTGAGAGAATTCTTTATTTATTAAAACATACGTTTATATGGGCCTCGATTATCGAATGGGTTGATGGAAAATTCCCTATCCGGCATTGCATATATGGATATTGAAGTCGTTTTAAGGATTGAGAGTTTGGAATTTGAACTAAAAATAATAAGAAAAGGAATGTGGATTATACCAGTATATTTATAGGAGTAATTAATTTTATATATTATTATTATTATTATTATTATTTACGAGGAATAAGAGCCGTTGAGGGTTTTAATCAAGTTAAACCAATTTCAAGAGCCATAATCTTTAGTGTTGTGCACGCAAGAGTTTGTGTCTTAACTCGAATCACAATTCTAATTTAATTTTTTAAGCTATAGTCAAAGGTAAAATAAAAACTTGCCGTCTGGGCAAATCTGATTTCTAAGCTATTGTTATGAATTTTCCTCAGTTCCCGACCAATCCCGGAGCTGCTGAAAGACTGAATCTTGTTTTGTTACATAGACGATAAGTATGGTGTTGCCTTTGTCTGGGCCTGCGTAGTCCTTTATTTCGTTCAATTGCAAAATTCCAATTACGTTAGTCCAAACCAACAAAAAGAAAATTACGTTTGTCCAGCTGAGAATTTCTGTTGCTCACTATTATTTGATTTGAAGGAATGAACTTTTTGTATTCGGTGAACTTTGACCAGATTCTTCACTAATTGGTATTACTTCTCTGTTGTTGAATTAGCGGTTGTTTCATTGAGCACTGTTCATAATTTTTAAAATAAAAATGGGAAGTGAAAATTATCAATTTTTCATCTCAAATGCGGAAGCAAAATATTAAAATTATAGTGAGCAAAAGAAATTGAATCCATTGAGTTGATAAGAATTTAATATTTTATTTATAAATTTTAAATTTAATTTTATTGTTAACAATTTTTTATGATAAGTAATTTATAAATTTAATGATAAAATTTTTTATGAAATTTACGATTTATTTTCACCACGAAATAAAAAAAAAAAATTTCACCGTGAATTTTTTTAAAATCAAAGAAAAAAAAAAAGAAAAGAACAAAAATAAGAGGAAAAAAGGGAAGCCCTGGCCATGGCCCGGACCAAGTGGAGGAGATAGGAAGGGTATATTCGAGACATGATTTAGAGCAAGAGTGGCATATTCAGTTGGAACCTTAGAGAAGGCAAAGACCGTTGGTTGTTGTTAACATTGGAAAACCAAAGACAGCATAGGCAAACATGGCATTGCCACCATACCCTTGAAGGCTGCTGAAGCAATACTTCAAAACAAGCAATCCCCTTTCTCTTTCTCTCTCCCTTTTCTGCTTCCAAAGGATTCATCAAATTCGCCATCTAATCCGCTCTCTTTCATCTATCATACTCTTACAAGAACCAGTCTTTGCTTACTTTTTCTTTTCCTGTCTTCAAAAGATCAATCTTTTCCTTCTTTCTTTTTCATCAATAAGATTTAATATTACACTTTCAAAAGAAGGAAAGAATATATATATATACGCACATATATATCCAAAAGATAAAGAAATGATAGATGAAATCACTGCTACATCAAGGGCTTTGAATCAGAATACTTCAACTTTATTGTCTTCATCTTCTTCATCAATGTCTTCTTCCGCCATTTTTACAAACTACCCTCTCATTTGTGCTTTCCTTGCCTTTGCTATTGCCCAATCTGCCAAGTTCTTCACCTCCTGGTATCTCTCTCTCTCTCTCTCTCTCTCTCTCTCTCTCTCTCTCTCTCTCTCTCTCTCTCTTCAATTGTTTTGATGAATCTTAAATCTTTTTTTGTTGTTGCTATGGAGTTCTTTTTATTTTCCTCCGCAAGATTTGAGAATTGTGTCACTGCAGAATGTTTTTATTAATTGTCTTTCACTGGATTTGTTGCCAAGATGTTTTGAACTGCTGGGTAATTGCTGTTTCAATCACTAATGGAATACAGTAGCTAGCATATTTGTTTAGGTCGTAATTTGATCTGATTCTAGAGCTGATGGCTTGCAATCAAGATGATATGTATTGTTACTGATCATGGAGTGATTAATTGATGTGACCTGGTTTAGGAATCAATTTTAAATAAACTTAACCTTAAACCCAAGTTCATAACTAAACACAACATTCATCAATATTTTTAGACATATATATATATATATCTTGAATCCTGGGGTTGCTTGTCTATCTTCATATCCTTTGACCTGCTTCTTTGATAATTGCAATGTAATTCTGGTCGATTCTTGCTTGGTTCAATTTCTATTTTGTAGTGATAGCATTTTGAGTTTTAATACTTTTTTATTCTTTTCATAACCCAATTGCTTGCTTGTTATGGAATGGGGAAGAAAAGCTTAGTACAAGGAACCATTTTGGGTACTAATGCTGATAATTGACAGATTATAGAATTTGAGCGGCAAGCATGTACAACTGATTAATAATACAGTAGTATTGCTTTGCTATTGCACAGGTCTTTCCACTATACTTAATAATTAGTTTTCTCCTAAGAGTCTTAAGGTTTCCTAGATTTGCAGGTATAAGGAAAGACGATGGGATATCAAGCAACTTGTTGGATCTGGTGGGATGCCTTCATCCCATTCTGCTACGGTTGCTGCTCTTGCTACAGCTATTGGATTCCAAGAAGGCTTTGGAGGAGCACTATTTGCAACTGCATTGATCTTAGCATGCATTGTATGATCCCTTGTTTCTCATTTTTATGGTTGGTATATAAGCTATTTAGATAATTCAGAACTAAAGTCTGAGGATATGATTTTCAACATTGCTTTCTTTGTCCCTGCTAATGCTAATTTAGGTTTTCTCCTACTATCGACTTCTGATACCTGAGAAAAATGGATTATGGGTCATAACCAATGAATATATTTCTCATGTCACCCCTATTGCCAACATTGTGGATTGAGTTTTGGTGGGGTGAATTTGATTTGCAGGTAATGTATGATGCAACTGGAGTGAGATTACAGGCTGGAAGGCAGGCAGAGGTTTGATTCTATTGCTGGTGTTTCCTAATTATTCTCGTACCCTTTCTTCTCCAAAATGCATTTTCCCCCATGTCTCTCCCTGCCATTTCCTAGTAATTGGATGTTACAGAAGCTTTAGTTATATACTGCATACTCTCTTTGTGAAATGAGATGAATAATCACTTGGTTTGAACTTGATTTCATTTATTCATTTCCAAACCTTATGTTATCCAGGTCCTGAATCAAATTGTCTATGAATTGCCCGCTGAACATCCTCTGGCTGAGAGCAGACCATTACGTGAACTTCTTGGTCACACCCCTCCCCAGGTATATATCTATAGCAGATTATTGGCAATAATTACTTGATCCACATGATAATTTGCTGTTCTTGAACCTCCTTTAGCTTCAAATGTTTCATATATTGCAACTGATGGCTATAGCAATCTGAGCTATATTTTGATATAGATAATAATCTACATGTTGGATTTTAAAACTTTTGGAAAGTAAATGCCGAAATTCTAAAGAGCAATAATCTTGGTATTGTTTCTCATGGTAACATCAGGCGCTGCAAGGTCATCAGATATAGTTGTTTATATGGAAGAGTTATGTATGAGGTTAATTATTTATAAATTTTTAACATTCCATTTCAATTACAGGTTATTGCTGGTGGATTGCTGGGTGTTATTACAGCAGTTGTTGGCCATGTAATTACCCTGGCTATTAGTTAAAGTTGATGCTCCTGTAGATCATAGATATCATTGGACGATAGCTTTGATGGTTGAACTTCGACTACCACACAGAAGAACTGCAACTTGAAGACCTTTGCCCTCAGGGTAGATTTCTCAGATTTGAATGCTAAGTTTCAGATGTCTATAATGGCAAGTTGTTACTTTGGAATTTGGACTGCCTTCAATTCATTTGAAGCAGTAACATCTTAATTTTTAATTGATTTATGCCTCTTGTAATGAAAAAGTCATGATAATAGGATGATACATGTAAATGGAACCCTGGGAATTGGTCAATCTGATCAAATGTAAAATTGTTTCTATGATTCTTGCATCAGTCATGGGCTTCTATCACTGGCCTTTGTATTCCTTACAAATTTTTAGCAAGGATATTTTTACTCAAATCAATTGTTGATTTGGGACCTGTGGTTCAATTTTACATTGGTGAGCAATGGAAGTGGAAAACAGAAATCAAAAGCTTCTACTGTTTTAAAGGGGTTTGATTTTGACAGTTAAAAGAGCATGAACATTTAGATGGATGGTGATTTAATCCAACAAGATGATCAAAACAGAGCAAAAAAATTATACCTGTATTCCACTCTATTGAAATTGGTGAAATTATACCCTCCTAAAATTAAAACACATGAATCACTGAGGACTAACACATAGCAGAACTATTGCATTTGAGCTGCCAGAAGCTATTATGAAGCAAAAAGCTTTTAACTCGTGCACAGCAGCCATCTCTGACTCTTCATTGGATCCATTCCAAAACCTTGGTAAATAATAAAGAAATTTCTGGCTGATGTATTTTATTTTATATGAAGCAACAATGAACAGTCCAGTCCTGTAGCAGAATTCTGATAGAAATTCTTCAAATATTCAAGACATTGTTTCTTATATTGATTGACTCAATTCCTAAAATGGTAGAAAAAACCATTTTCATCTTCGAATAAGGATCCCCTATGACACTTGGCTTTGAACGCCAAGCAATATGTTCATCTGGCCTGACTAAAATGGCTCCTAGCTCTGTCATCTGACAAGTTTTCCACCATGACAATGAATCTGCTGACCTTTTAACCTCTATAACGTTTATGAAGTTCTTCCAAGGTGCTACTGTTACTTTGCTCTCTGGCTGAAATCTAGTAACAATACCAGCTGGCCATAGAACACACACCTTGATAGAAACTTTATATTCCTTGGCAACCTTGAATGCAGCTTGAGCAAGATTATAGGACTTCTCCACTGGAGCTATTATGAGAAGGAACTCAACTTTGTCTCCAGACACAAGATCGAGTGTAGAAATGGTTTCCTGCAATAATTTTAACAAAATTAGATAAAAACAAGAATGCAACATGCTTCTGTTCAAAACACTTCCAAATCCTCCGGTAATCATGCAATAGTTGAACTTGGCATATGAACCAGAATTCTGATGCCACTAGTGTAGCAAGCAATTAAAATAAAGCTCCTAATTCTCTGTAGAGAGATTATAGATCATAACATGTATTGATCAAGCCCAAGCACCACTAGCCTGCAACTTTTCAAGCCTAAACCACATGGCCTTTAAAAGCTTAACATCAAGTAGCTATTAGTGATTGATTTTGACCTTTACATGGGTCTTCAAAGTCACATCCACATCAGATGTGGGATGGGGTATCACATTCCCACCCACTCAAATCCTTGATGTCCTCATCAAGACCCACTTCACAACCACTCAAATCCTTGATGAGGACATCAAGGCCCACTCCACAGGAATATAGCTGACAAGGCCAAAAATCATGTGTCAAAACAGTTAAAGATTCATTATAATCAAAGCGAATAATTTCATAAGTTCATAAATCAATGACAAACACATATTGTTCATCAAATATCATACTAAGCAAATCATAGATTCAATCTTTAAAACTCATAAAGCTTCATCATCTTTCCTAACAATCATTGTTATAACCTCTCACAAGAGCCGTATCAAGAATGTCACTCACATGATCACTTTTAACTATTATAATCGGTTCATAAGAACGTCTGCTAACTATTATAACCTGCTAGTGAAGTAGTGTGCTAACCACAATAACCCATTAGCAAGACCATAGAACTACTTCTAGTGTCCTTATCCCACTTCCTAGGGATCAATTCTAACTCTTCTAAAATAATCTTTAAATAATAACAAAACATTCCCTATCTCATTCATAAATCAATATACTTATTGCACAAACCCTCTAATGGATTATAACAATTAGTAATGATCTTTAGAATGGTACTTTCGATATGGCTCTTGTCATGGGTTATATAATAGTGAAGTTAGCTAAAGATTATGAAGCTTTATGAGTCTTAAAGATTGAATCTGTGATTTGCTTGATATGATATTTAAAGAATTATACATGTTTGCCAATGATTTATGAGCTTACAAAATTATCCATTTTGATTATGACGATTCTCTAACTGTTTGCCTACATGATTTATTGATCAATGAATGTTATTGAATGATCTTATATGATACACTGAAACAAACTTGATTCGGTAAGGTGTGCATAGCTATACTTGCTGAGCTGTTTTTTCTCCTTCCTTCCTTTACTTTTATAAATAACCAGAGATGAGAGCTCTAGAATTTCGGGGACTTGGAGATCAACTTGGAGTCTGCCTTTGTATTAAGACATTACTAGTTATTTAAGACTTTTTATTAAGTGTAATTAAAACTTAAGTTTCTATTTTATTTAGTTTATTCTCTTAGAGACTTTAGATTGGTTGTATTAGTTTCCAGATACGAATTTGACTTAAGAGAATTTCAATGAGACTTTATTTGAGTACTTTAATGTCAATGATAGGCCAAAGGGCTTTGTGTTATGTGTGACATTGTCTCAATGTAATATGGCTATATTATGTCTCGGTTTCAAGCATGATAACATGCATAGAGATAAGATGACAATGAGCAATTCTAACATAACAAGCATTAAAAGTGAAAACAGAAAACATGAAGAAGGAAAAAGAAAAACAAAAGGTCCATAACGGGAGTCTATACCTCACTTTGAAATTTTGACAAAACCCTAACATTCATATGAGGCAGCCTAGACCCTGGATCTGCACAGGGGACATAATCCCTTCGACGACCCGTAGGCAATTGTGGAGCAGGCACAACATCCTTGCTATCTGGAACAAGTGCTCCTTCAAGGTACCTGACACCCATGCAAAGATTAAAAGAGAAATATATATTACAGTATTTCTTTAAAAGATTAGTACGGTAATACAAAGCTCAGAAATTGTTTAATTCCATCTATTGCAATAGTTCCAAGTTGCAAATAATCCTATAAAATAATATTGATACCTAAAGCCAAGATCCTCAGCAGGAAACTGGAGCTGAAGGCTCTTTCCTTCTTCAAAAATATGCCTTAATTTAGCAAGCCTTGACGATCCAAGTGGGTTATTTTCATTTAAAATGAATTCCGAAAGCTGTGAACGACCTATTGAAAAAATTCCATCCAAAAGAGCCTTCTGCATACTAGATGGTAAAATGGAACCAACCCCCTTATTAATAACTTGGTGAACTGCATAACAAGCAAGAGGAAGAATAATTGTCACTGATGAGCTGAAACCAAAATATTTACCTTCATAGGGAATGGCTCAGGAGAAACAGTAGGACTTTAAGAGCAATGGCTACATTAATTTACCAGAATTTGCAATAGTCGGATCAAGACCAAGAGTTGCAGGAACTGCCATTGCTGCTCTGAAGTTCTGAATGCTAAGAGCTGTATTAAAAATGGCAATCTGACAAAGCAAATAAATATAGAAGTCAAGATCAAAGAACTTACAATAAAATAGTGAGAATAAAAGGTGATTAGGCTGAAGCAATACCGGCTTACGTTCCGTTTCGTATGTGGCAAGAATTGAAGATGATGCAACACCTTTTAGTACAGAAGCAATTTTCCAGGCCAGATTATGAGCATCCTGGATACCAGTATTCATCCCTGCATAAACCATGTTAAAATCCTATAAATGGTTTTTCTATACCATAACTAGTATGCAAGGAAACATCACTTTACCAATCCTCATAAGTATTATTCATGATACAATATGTAGTCCTTTTATTTGATAGCATGCAGAGACAGTCCACTATGCTGCACTTGAACACTCGGTAGCTCTTTTTTCACTTAATCATAAAAATTAGTTTTTGAGTTGCATATGCATAAAAGTCAAACTAGTAGGTGTTCATGCAGTTTAACTTGTTGGCATGACTCCCATTTCGCTCCATGTTAGACATGTATGCTTCACTTAACATGTTCTTCCTTTTACTCCTTTCATTCAACCAAGAAAAAAAAAGGACAAAGAAATTGCATAATCAATGTTATAGAGTTGCCAGCTGCAGTAGAAGAAAAAAATGTTAATCTTGAATGATTGATGTGCACATTTTTATTGTCAGCAAAAAAAAAAAAAAACTGCTACTAACCGAAACCACCAGCTGGAGGGAAACGGTGAGCGGCATCTCCACAAAGTATTATTTGATTGTTCCCACATACAAACCTCTCAGCAACTTCAGCATGCATCACCCATGGCTTAATGTCAATCACATTTACATCTGAAAGCTCTCGACCAACCAATTTGAATATTAACTTCTTGCATATCTACAAAAAGTTGCATCCTTCAAAGAGACTGCTACCTTCTTGTAAATTTGAGAAGGCATCCTTATGTACATATTATATCTTACAATTAAAAAAATAAAGTCAATCATGCACTTAAGTGAGTTGTTAATCAAGACGCCTAGGTAAATTTACATTAAATCAACTGATAAGTGATAACTACCACTGAAAATCATATTATAAGATACCATTTTTCTGTAGCTTATTACATTTAGAGTACCAATGATGTTAAAGGATGGTACTCTCCAGAGCCTCTCTTAAATGTAAGCTATCCTTCATCCAACTGATTTTTTTTTTTTTTGAGGGGCACAATGAGAAAAGGAAGGGTCATCCTAACCATACAAGTCTATAATGAAAAGAAATACCTCGGGGCTGAAATCTTCCAGGCTTTGTTGAGGAGGATAGAATGGGATCTGCAAGATGATGATGATCGATAAATCATTTTCAGTATATGGTGCATGTTAAAGTAGCAGTACTAAGTCAACAAAGATGCAGAATATTTCCTAAATCCTCCAATACCTGTAATACAAATTCCCCTTGTTTAAGATCATGAGCAACAAGAACCCCAATAGCTTCAGCGTTGAAAATGAAAAATAGCATACCAGGTCTCTCATTAAGCAGGTATCGCCCGAGGTCATTGCTCAAGAAATGAACACTCACAAGTTTTTGCAAGTCATTTTCACCTTTCAAATCTATTCCAACGAGCTTTCTTACTGTACTTCCGGCACCATCAGCAGCAACAAGAATTTTAGACTGAATTTTTCTTGTCATTGACTCACCTTCCTTGGAAAAAGAAACAGTTGCAGTAACACATTGATCAGTTATGTCAATGGAGACACACTCATGCCCCATCAAGATTTCCCTTCCCTTGAGTGGTTCATGATCAAGGCTTTCTGGACCTTCTGATGTGCAAATACAAAAACCAAGATTCTCCAACAGCTTAACAAGTAACCTAGTTAACTTGTACTGCGAGAAGTGAGCAACAGAGATTGGACTAACAACTTTTTCAAAATCTGGCCATAGATAACAAAAGAATGGATTTATGGAATAATCTTTAGTCAAGTATACAACATCCACGAAAAACACAACATGAATATTCCTACTTTAAGTAGTCAAATTGCCAAATTATTTACAAAAAATGGAAATACATTTCTCATTAAATAACAATAAACATGTCCCTGAAGTCTACATTAGAGTGTTAAACTAAAGGAGTTGAACTGGAAGCAGCAATTGGCAAGACAGCAACACATAAAACCTACAGAATCAATCAAACCTTTAGGATGCATATGGTCCACCGAACCTAGCATTGAACCAGTTAGTGAAGTACAATATATGAATTTTCTCCACAAATCTACAGGTGGTTGTGAACTTTGAATCTCCTCCGCTAATCCATCCAATTTCCTAAACACCTAACAATCAATAGTTACAATTAAGCTCAAGACTTCTTCTATGGTAACAATATTACACTCAATCTTCCATAAAGAAAGTAAACCAACCTCCATAGTTCGGTTATTGATAAAGTGAGCTTGTGGGTGCTTGGAAAACCCCTTGTTTTTTTCCAACACCGTGCATTTTACCCCTACAAGATATCACTATTCATTTGCTATATAGTTTGAACATATAAAAAGATGAATAAAAACACAAAAAAAAAAAAGTGAGTTGCATTACTCGCTCTGAAAAAATGATTATGCAAAGAAGAAAAAATGTAAAATGGCGTATAAAAGCACTATAACTAATTAGACAATTTCCATGTCAAGAAGCTTGTAAAAATTCAAAGTTTCCCACTTTACTTTTCCATTATAAGGTTTATAGTGAAAAAGAAAAAAGAAAAGAAAATTTTGGTTAAAGAACATACCAAATTTTGAAAGCAGAACGGAGAGAACGAGGCCCACAGGTCCTGCACCAACGATAAGAACAGGAAGAACAGAGTCATTGCTGTCGAGAAGTTTGGAGTCAGAAAAGGCCCTCCTTTGAATGTAGCCAGAAGGGTAAACACTGATTCTGGGTTTGGTTCTATGGAGGAAGTTAAAACCCCTGATAAACCCTGAAACCCCCATGACCGAGATGAAGCTGACGCAAAGTGGGGGAAGAGAGGAGGATTCTACAAAAAAAGGCACTGGCAGTTCTGTTGGTGGATGCTCGGTTTTTTTAATCTTTTGAGCGGGCTGCGTTTGGGTAAGCTCAAGCCCATTTTCCCTTCTAGGTTTGTAGATTGTGAGCCCACTCCACCTAAACCAGAGTATGTATTTACTTTACAGGCCTGTGCCTCACGCCCTAATCAGAATGTAAATAGGGCTAAGCAATGGATGGTTTCGATTAATTGGCTTTTAGTTGGTTGATTAATTCGGTTATAAGTTAATTTTTAAAAAAATCGATTTGATCTATTAAAATAATAAAAATCAAAATAAATTGAATTGAAATAAATCGATCAATTTTTTTTTTGAGTTTTAAATAAGCAGAGAAACAATTTGCAAAATAAATTCATCCATTTAAAATAAAAATCGATCCATTTTGTAATAGATCAATTTTTTTTTATATGGATCGACCCATTTGCAAAAAAGATGGATCTATTTATAAAAAATAATATAGTTTTTTTTATTTTTTTTAGTTGATTTATTTCATGATTTTCGTAATCACAAATCAACTTATTAAACCATTTAAACCGATTATTTAACTGAAAAAACTACTAAATCTGAAAAAAATCAATCCCTATTTAATTAAATTTTTATTTTTCATCAATTTATTCAATTAAAATCAATAAATATTCACCTCTAAACATAAGTTTAAAGTATTAAAATATTAAGTCTAATCCAGATTAAGCTACCATATTAATAATGTTGTGTATAAATAGAACTTCATAAGATCTAGTAGAATAAGTGATTTGACATAATATAAATTAGATTTTATTTATTTATTTATATTTTTTTATCTTAATAATATGAAAATACATTTATTTATTCTGCATCGACTCGAGTTATTTTTATTATACTATTAAAATGAAACAAGAGATCTAAAAAAAAGCAAATGTTAGATTACATTAGTAATAGGTAAATCTTTTATTTATAAAAATATTTTATATATTTTAAGATAAAAGTGAATTACAAGACTTAAGACGACCCATAAAATATTTAATCATGATCAACTTTATACACCTACTTGAATATTGAGCATTTACTTATGAAAATGAAATTATTTGAAATGTATAGTTATAACTTCATAAAATAAAATCAAATAATTTTTTTTTACATATAAAATTAGTTATATATTTGTGAATAACATATAGATTTATTTTATATGTTTGGATCGAACTTGTCCTATAAAAAAACGGCCATTCTCATCCAAGCACATGCACATGCAACATTTCTCAAAAAAAAGAACAAAAAAAAAAAAAAGGAAAACTGTATAAATGCTAATAACAAGCTATAAGCAAATAGTAGCAATCTTCCCGCACTGTCCCCAGGGCATTATCAGTAGTACCTAAAAGACAGGTCAAAACTTTACTGACAAGTGACAATTACGTCAACAGTCAATTTAATACTAAACATCAAATAACTCACAGATGCGGCCCATCACAGCCACGTGAATGACTTCAGAGCACCCACATGATTAATGTGTCCTTCCTTCTATTGTCCATCTTGGCCCGACACTTTCTCAGATTTTCATCTGACAATCCTTCTCAATCCTCCACCCTCCACTGTCACCCATCTAACGCCACACCCATTGCATTTGTAGCCGTTGAAAGGGGAACCATATTTCGAGAAAAACACCTTTCTCTCTTGGAAGTAAGTGATGGTTTTCAATGGGAGACTATTTCTTTTTCACTTAGAGTACGGTTACCAAGATTCCCATTGTGAGTTTAAGGCAAAGAGTTGAGAATTCCCAATTTTTTTTACCATTAGTTACTGTGCCAAATGGTCTTATGTTTGGTTTTTGGTTGGTCCAAGTTTCCAGCCATGCAAAGTATTTTACTTTCAGTATATTTTAATGTTCAATGGATCTGAAGTTCTGAAACTTTTATCTTTTGCCTGGCAATGTGTTGCAAAGATCCATGGTTTTAAGGCATTATTCCCTGTTACATTTCTTTTCTTCTGGAAAACCCATTTGCCTGTTCTCTTTCTTTTATTTTTCTAACATGAGTAACATCAAAGTCTTGTCTAATTTTTTTAGTGAGTCTGGGAAATTATTAAGCATTCGTTGGCTGCCGCACTGCTTAACAGATAGCTTTTAGTTGTTTTTGATAAATGGGTGTTTAGTGTTTTAAATATAGTGATAGTTAGCTTTGTGGATAAATCCCACTGCCACATGTGTGATGGGACCCTTTGCTGAATAGTGGAATTGATTCCTATGAAGGAAGTTTCAGATATTTCAGGGGTTCCTGTTGAACATTATTGTTTTTTGTTTTCTATAACTATTCTGCCATTTCTATTTTAATTACTTGTAAGGATGTAGTAGAAGTTTTCTCTATGTAATGAGTAGAAGTTGAAAGTATACTGGCAAGAGAAAATTACGCAGACTTCTTCACTAAGGTTATAGCAAGCTACAGATTTTGTGTGCTTTTAGTGGGCGCAAGATTCTCAATGTTTCATACACAAGCACTTGTGAAGTATGAATCTGGGTCTAATATCCCAACTCCTGGATCTGTTTTGCAATGAGAAAGTAATTCTATGTTGGCTAGTAACTTACATTTCGAGATAGGATCTGAACATTCTTGCTTTGCTGAGGATCTATCTGTAGACAAGTGTTATTTTTGGGACTTGAGAGACTAAGTGGAACAGAGATAGAAGCTTTTCTTGATTAGAAAATGAGATCTATTGAAGATAAAGGATGCTATAACCTTGGACCAGCTCAGGAAATTTCAAGCAGCAATGCCATTAATTTTGAGTTTCACAAAGGGAATGGAACAAACAACAACCGTGCTTCTAATCATCGAACTGCCTTAGGCAAACCAACACCTTCGAAATGGGATGATGCGCAGAAATGGCTAGTGGGACTGTCGAGAGGTAGAGACAAGAGCCAATCCAAAACCACACCTCGAAACTCCAATGCTGATGACAGAAGACTAATAGCACCTGTTCCACAAAAGGAACAAGATTATTCCAGTGGAGAGGATGAAGGAGCAGCACAAGCAAATGGTTTTGCTGCTGCAATGTTTTCTAAATACGAAGGAGAAACAAAAAAGGTGGATTGTGATGAGTCAATTTGGCGAATCAACAAACCCGCAGAGAACTCAACTTCAGCTGTTAGATCAATATGTGTGAGAGATATGGGGACTGAGATGACCCCTATTGCAAGCCAAGAGCCATCGAGAACAGCAACACCCATCAGAGCCACGACTCCTGCTGCAAGGAGTCCTATTTCTTCAGGATCTTCCACCCCAGTAAGGTGCCAACATGGAGTACCGAGTGCTGAGGGCTATCAAGCTGGCCCAATATCGACTGAAAGCAGGGCTGAAACTAACGCTGCTGCCAGGGGAAGTGGTTCAAACGGACTGTATGGACAAGAATCCAGGATAAATGAGAACAATAATTCAGATCAAGCTAGAAAGCAGAATACTCTAGAAACCCGAGCTATGGCTTGGGATGAGGCTGAACGTGCCAAATATATGGCAAGGTGATGTACTCTGACAAGTAACTAGCCACAACTAATTAGCATAAGCTTAGGAATTTCTTCCGGCTTAGATGTGAATTTTTTTTTACTGGAACTAGATGTAGAATAATGATGTAATTCGGAGTGTTTTCTACTCAAACAGATGTGATAAGCATTATGTCTTACATTCTAGGTATAAGCGTGAAGAAGTGAAGATACAGGCCTGGGAAAATCATGAGAAGAGGAAAGCAGAAATGCAAATGAAGAAAATGGAGGTAACTAATTAGCTAGATCCAGATATATGACATAGACTAGATCATTACTTCAAAGGTTAACAAAAAATTTTTTTAAACAAGCATAAAAATTGTAATGATGCAGATCCAGACTGAACAACATTTTATATGGCTTAGTATTTTATTTGTCAGCATGAAGTATCTCTCCTCCATGTTTGTATTTATCATAATAGGTGAATATGCTTGAACCAAGTAAGACTTTAGTTTGCTTCTGAAGTAATTGTAAAGATGACTTTCTTGGGAATTCCTATCAGTTAGTCTGTGCACAAATCCTTTGAAATATTTACTTCTCAGTTCACCAAAACATTAACTGTTGCATTTGTCTCCAAATTCCGAAAGGCCTTGCTGTTTTTTCTGCCGTGGATTAATTTTGCTAAAGTCTTCGAGTATTTGAAGTTAAAATCATTCTACAGTGAAAACTTTACAATGGTATCCATCCCATCATACCAATGCTGTTATGTGTTTAGGTGAAGGCTGAGAGATTGAAAGCTCGGGCAAAAGAAAGGTGTGCAAACAAACTTGCTACCACAAGGAGAATAGCAGAAGAGAAGCGTGCAAATGCCGAATCCAAACTAAATGAGAAAGTTATGAGGACTTCTGAAAGGGCAGATTACATAAGGAGGACCGGTCACTTGCCCTCTTCGTTCCCTTTCAAGTTGCCTTCCCTTTGTTGGTAGTAACTCTGCTGTTAAAGCTAAATGCCAAATCCGGCTTCAATCCTTGTTCTGCTACTTTCTCAATATACATATGATGTACTTTTGGACTCTGGGGATGTGATTAATGTTGAAATTTTGCAGTCATGTTGTTAGTTCCTTCAATAAACAATCCCGAAATCAATATTTTAGCAATCGTTTATCAAGATTTTTAGTCATGTTAATGATGGTATATGATGCAATTGGAAAGCCATAAGACTGCCTATTATTATTACAAACGAACTGATTATGAATAAAATCATGAGCATGATTTTGTTGTGCTTGCTCAATGAAGTATATGCGTTAAAGATAGGGACCCCAATTGAGTTAGTTGGCTGTTGGACCATGGAAACATGACATGCATGCCCATTGCTCAGCTTACCAACAAAAAAACACTTTGTTTGGACTAGTTATTGACTCTCTGATACACGTCTTTTCCATGCTTTGCTTCTACTAAAGAAGGATGTGGCCACATTTACATATTTTCATATTGCCATATCATTTTTTTTTTCTTTCCTTTTGGGATAGAATCATAGCTTGTGATTAGTGGTACTAACAATCTGAACTTCATCTAATGCTTATTACTACTAATTTCGCACAAGATTCAGATTCAAGGTTTAATGTTATTATTAAAAATAAGCATGAAAAGTATATATATTATTAAAATGTCTGATTGAATTCGATATTATAAGTTAAGTAAAATCAACTCAACTAAGAAAACAAATAAAACAAAACTTTTTCAAATTGGAAAATTTTAAATGCACCCCTCTTTTTTTTTCTATATACTTCATTTAAAAAAAAATTTATAAGCGAAATTATTTAAATATCTTTCTCACAAATTTTACAACTTTAAAAAATTTATTTCAAAACTCATAACACTTCTAAAAAATAATACTTTTAAAAATGTAATTCCAAAAGTTTTAAACTAAAATTTTATGAAAAATTATTAAAATTATTTATAAATAAGTATAATGAAAAAAGTTATTATTAAAAAAATCATAAATTTTAAAATTAATTAAAAATTTACTTTTACTATTTTCATCTTAGAAAAACAATAATATCTTATGAGATCCTAATTAAATTAAAGATAAAATATTAAATATAATTTTTTTATAAATTTAAAATTTATCATTTTTTAATAAATATTTTTATCAATTATTAAAATTTTATAATAATTTTAATTCAATTGAATTCTTTGAAAAAGTGCTTTCATCTATTTATCATGATGGGTTTTTTCAATTAAAATATTAAATTTTAACAAAATTGTGTAATATTCACTAATATTACTTATAAAATTTTAAAGAGTTTCAATTTTTATATGTTAATCAGGCTTGATAATTTTTTTATAACCTTTAATAGCATTAAGAGATAAAATATTTATTTAAAACATCATAAGATTTTATTATTATTTTTAAATCAAAATAGTAAAAGTAACTTGTTAATTTAATTATCTTTTGAATTAATTGACATATTATTAGAGTTAGTACTAAGAGTTTGTAAATTTAAAAAAATTCAAGTGCGTAATATCTCTTCAACTTAAAAAATAGTAAAAGTAATTTTTTATTAATTTTAAAATTTATAAATTTTTTAATAATAGTTTTTTTATTATTTTAATTTATAAATAATTTTAATAAAATTTTTGTTATAAATTTTTATAAAATTTCACATTACACTCTTATAAATATATTTTTGAAAAAATTATAACGTCTTAAAAATAATGGATATTCAAAATTTTCTAAAATAAATTTTAAATAATTTCACTTATAAAAAATATAAAGAACGTTTGGACAAGAAAGTGGAGCGCATTTTTAGACGCTTCCTTTCAGATTTTGAAACTTATAAACTGGGGGCTAAAATGTAATTTCGGGGCTGAGTGCATTAAGCATTGACATCCCCTCTGGAGACTACCAATGATATGAAGATTTTTTTACTTTATTTTATTCTTTTTCTCGAATCGTGATTCGCGATCCCAAAGCCAAAGAATAAAACACTGCGTTTCAATTCACAAAGCTTTCTGGCCTTGGCTTTCTCATCTCGCTCTCTCGCGATTTCGAAGGCTCTCTTTTCCCTTTACTTTTTGTATTATTATCTCTTCTCGAACCAGCGATTGCCGACTTGTATCGTTCTGTCCATGTTTTCTTTTTCCGTCTCAACCGGTAAGCCCTAGCCACTCTCAATTCTCTTTACTCTTTTAATTTCGTCGAGAGATCGAAAAATTCCATGCATCGTTCAATTTTTCACCAATATTTCTATGGTTTATCCTCTTCGTCTTTTGTTTTAATTTCTACAATAATACAATTATTTTCCCCTTAAATTTTCGAGCTACATAGCGCGAAAATCGAGGATCTGATACTTTTTTTTATTTGGTTATTTTGTCTGCTTTTATTGGTTAATTTCGTATTGATAACCTTAGAATTTGGTCTTTTATTTTTCTCAAAATTGGCGTGAACTAGGTTGTTTTCTGAGGGTTTAGGGTTTAGGGTTTATAAGTAAACAATTTAGAGGGAATTTCTTGAATTGAAAATTACGTTTTCGGATTTTTGAAATTTATACATGGCCGCTGGGAGACATGGGAGTTATAGTGATAACGAGTTTAGAGACAGAGACTCTAATTTTGAGGTGACAAGGCGGAAATTTGCTAATTCTAAAAAGTATGAGCTATCTAGGAATGGTAGCCGTGGTAATGAAAGGGGTCGAGTACGGGAAGCTAGAGATAGAGATAGAGCTAGGGTTAGACAAAAGGATATTAAGGAGAGGAAAGTAATAAATGGTGGGTATCGCTCCTCTTCAAGTAGAAGTGATTCTGGTGGTGGTAGTGGTGGTGGGAAAGGTAGTCATGGCCCCAGGCGATGTGAGTTCTCTCTTAGGGTGGTAGATAAGGAGCCTGGAGAGTTGTCTAGTGAAAGTGGGTCAGAGGATGCCGTAGAGTGTGAGTCAGTGGTTAAAGATAGTGAGATTGCTAAGGTAATGGAGAATGGGGCTCAGCCTCCTGTGGGAAGGAAAAGGAAGTTTTCGCCTATAGTGTGGGATAGAGGTGACAAGGATTTAAGTAATTTGTCCAAAAGTAGGAATTTTGCAGCAGTAATGGCCCTTCCTCCTCCACCACCGCTGCCTAAAGCTTACCACAAGTCACCTAACGGTGTCCCTGGTGGGGCGGTACAGATATTTCCTGTTAGAGAAAACAAAAACCAGAAATCACAGTCTTCTTCGCCAGTTGCTGCTGCTGAAACTGTTGGATACTCTGCACTGCAGTCTCGAGTCAATTTGGATTTGTCACCACCAAAAGAGCAGCTTAACAATCAGGATGCTAGGAAGCTAGAAGATGAAGACTATGTACCAACCCGACATATATCTTCCTCAAGATGGGTATCTGGTGATAGTTCTCCAGGCGATGAGGGAGAAATTTTAGAAGATGAGGAAATGTTTAAAAGGAGGAAAAAGTTGCCTCTTTCAGAATCATCCCATAACAGATTACGGAATAATTCAGCAACTCCAGAGCTTGGGGAGCTTAAGAGGGAAGGTTCTGAGGGAATTAGAGCAAGATCATCTGAATCTGATGAACGAGGTGCCTGTTCCAAGTCTGGAAGTGGGGATGATCACCCTGTTAATGATTCAGAGAAGGATGACTACATGGAGATTGATATTGAACATGATAGAAATAACTCTAGTGTTAGCAAGTCTGATACAGATTCTGAGAATGAAAACTATTCACGTGGGACACCAGAACCTCCAGCTCCTCCTTTAAGAAGTTTAAACATGCTTCAGGGATGTAGAAGTGTAGATGAATTCGAGAGACTAAATAAGATAGATGAAGGTACTTATGGTGTTGTATATAGAGCCAGGGACAAGAAGACTGGGGAAATCGTGGCATTGAAGAAGGTAAAGATGGAGAAAGAAAGAGAAGGTTTTCCTTTGACCTCTCTGAGGGAAATAAACATTCTTCTTTCCTTTCATCACCCATCGATTGTAGATGTCAAAGAAGTAGTTGTAGGGAGTAACCTTGATAGTATTTTTATGGTGATGGAATACATGGAACATGATCTGAAAGGGCTGATGGAGACAATGAAACAACCATTCAGCCAAAGTGAGGTTAAATGCTTGATGCTTCAGCTGCTGGAGGGTGTCAAGTATCTTCACGATAATTGGGTTCTCCATCGAGATTTGAAGACATCCAATCTGCTTTTAAATAACCAAGGTGAACTGAAGATTTGTGATTTTGGGTTGGCTCGTCAATATGGAAGCCCATTAAAACCATATACACATTTGGTTGTTACACTTTGGTACAGGTGAGTTATGTATGCCATCAATTACTTTCCTGAATGTCATGGTTAAATCCTCATATTTGTCCAATGATAAAATTTTATGGGAGATTTTTCTTCTTCAGAATTTATTTTCAGTTACTGTTTGTGATTGGGTGTTTGGAAAATTATTCTGAATTATGGCATTTGGGTATGCAAGTGCTGATTATTGATTGAAACATCCTTTTTTTTTATTAAATATCATTATTATCTGATTCAATGTTGGATTCCAATACCTCAAAAATCTTTAGGTCACAGTTCCATGGAGAAGCCTTTGACAAAGTATGATCATGACCTGATAAATTGTGATTTGACCTCTCTTGTTTTTTGATTAATGAGAAGCATGAACCATATATGCTTTACAGTGCTAACCTGTGTTTACTCTTTGTAAACTTTTAAGGCTTAAGCCTTTACTTTGCTGCTGTTAATTTCTCTTAAGTTTGCTTCATTAATTATCTGAGCATTTATTTTTTTGGGGATTCAAGTAGTTAGGAACTTTTCATATTGGTTTTGCAGGGCACCTGAACTTCTTTTAGGAGCAAGACAATATTCCACTGCAATTGACATGTGGTCTCTGGGTTGTATCATGGCTGAACTACTATCGAAAGAACCACTATTCAATGGGAAAACTGAATTTGATCAACTTGACAAGGTAAATTAGTTGGCCTCACTTTTCATTAATCATTACTGTCTGGCTGTGCTATTGCTGGAATTGTTCAATCTGCCCATGGTGGTTAATGATCTTGGATTTGTTGTGTGGGTTTTACTGATTGTAGATTTTCAGAACCCTCACCACACCAAATGAGACAATATGGCCTGGTTTTTCAAAGCTGCCTGGAGTCAAGGTCAATTTTCTCAAGCACCAGTAAGTATTGGATCTTTTATAAATTGATTTTAGATTCATTTGAGTGTAATATTCAGGTCTTCTTATTTTTCTCACTGTTTTCCCAGGCTTCCAGCTTTGGGTGATTCTGGTCTGGCTTTCTGGCCTCCAATGGTGACAGTTCAGTAACACAGCATTTATTTTTGTTTGTATTAATTACTGATATTTTCCTTTCAGGTATAATCGATTGCGCAAGAAATTTCCAGCAACATCATTCACTGGAACACCTGTTCTCTCTGATGCAGGATTTGACTTGTTGAATAAACTTCTTACTTATGATCCTGAGAAGGTAAATAACGTGGCTTTTCTAAATATTCCTGTTACCTTGTCATTATTTATGTGGATGATTTATTGAGCCCTGTGGTGTCACCTTCAGCGTATAACAGCCGAAGCCGCTCTTAACCATGAGTGGTTTCATGAAGTTCCTCTTCCCAAGACTAAAGCTTTCATGCCCACTTTTCCTGCCCAACATGCTCAAGACAGGTATTGAGCCACAGAACTAAGAAAATATCACTGCTATTTTATTGTAGTAAATTTGGATTTTAACTTATTATTGAAGTTTTAAATAAGGTCTTTTGGTATCTTGCTTAGGCGTACGAGAAGAATGTTGAAGAGTCCAGATCCTTTGGAAGAGCAACGTATAAAGGAGTTGCAGCAAGGGGAATTGGGGACTGGTGGTTTGTTTGGCTGAGAGAAAGTTCATCCTTAAGTGATGTTTGATCTTCATGTTTTAGATTTTCATGTTATTATTAGATGGCCATGATTGAGGTGAGAGACATGCATTCAATGGAAGTTGCGAACTTTGTTTTTCAGACGATCATTCTTGCTGTTTTTTAGCAGGCACTGATGATGATTTGGATGGAGATATTGTTTGCTTCCTCCTGTGAACCAGACGTTTTGCAGGCTAATTTGTTTTCCAGCTTTGATCGTCATATCTAAATGCATCTGACACTGCTTGCATTGCAAGGTGTAGCATATCAACTTTTCTTCTTTTAGAAATCAGTTTCAGCTGAAACTTTTGTAACATATTTTTATTGGAACAATGATGTATAACATTCCCTTTATTGCTGGTTTTGAATATTAATGCAAAATGGATTTCTTCCTAATATCAGTTCCATCTTTTTAATATTGACATAGTGTTTGCAAGGGACTGTTGGTGTGAAGTGGAGGGTTGTTCTTTGCTTTTCATTGAGGAAGAAATTGACAGTAACATTATAAATCAAAGCTAATTTATTAATCAAATATCTGTGGAATGCTTTATGGGGTTGGGTATAAATTTTCCATCCACGAGGGATTGCCTCTGCATTATGAAAATTGTGGTGCCAATTGAAGGTTTTTTTTTTTTTTTTATATTTCCTAATCTTATGGGACAATTATTTTTAAGTTTGCTGGAGATGTGGAGGACAATTGCCATGACCTGAAATTGCTGCTAGGACAATGGTTATGTATATGGTTTTTTAGGACACTGTATTTGAAGAGTTGAGATGTTGCAAATCTTTCCTCTCTCTTCCGTATGGTGATGTGTTCAAGATTTGTTATTTTGTGTTTGTGTGTGCATTCGCGGAGAAAAAAGGGTATAAAACCCAATTTATTGTTGTCAACTAAAGGAATTGGCTTCTGAACTGTTTATCATAAATTCTTTGTTTGTTTATTGATTTGACAACCAGTTTTAACAGTTGCTTTGTCTTTAGTGACTGTTAGTCTGTAACTGTGGACAACTTAGCAAAGGAGAAAGAAGGTATTCGTCAGTAATTAAGCCAAAGAACCTGTAGTTTATCTTATGTCCTTTTTATCTGATCATGCCAAACAGTAGGCTTGTACTTTCCAACAGATGACCTATTTGATTTTGTTTTGAGTTTTGAGCTTAACTGGGCCTTAGGTTTTTTGGAAAAAAATTATATATTTTGATGCCTTTTCCCTGTGCTGAAGCCTCCCAAAAAAAGAACTTAAATTATGCAAGAAAACTAGTTATGGCATGGATGCTGATTCTAGGCTTTTGTAAGTACTTGAAATTCACTAAGGTTAAGCCGTGAGTTTATGTCCATGAGTTTTATGAATCTGGAATCGTTTATGACATGTCTGTGAATGTAACTGCAGTCTTAAAGCAAGCAGGTTGAGGAGTTTACCTGCATATTGTGGATTTTGTCTAACTTCCAATTAGTTTTTACTTCAAGCTCGGTAGAGGTACCCTACAAACTTTAGTCTGCTACAATATCTTAGACTAACTCTTTTGCATTAATATTTCTATTTTCAATTAACTTTTCGCATTAATATTTCTGTCTTTACTCACGTTTTTCATTGCTTTATATAGTTGTATTGTTAAGATGCATTTTATTCTATGTAATTGTAATGAAAGGCATCATGTAAGTGAATCAAGAACGAATGAACATTTCTGTATTGTTCCTTAAAATTTGTCCTAACCTTATGGAACAGTCAAGGTAAAGATATGTCTTACTTATGTTCTCTCACACATCCCATTCTCTGTTTATATATAGTTGGATTGAATGTGATCATATCGACAGATTTTCATTTAGCGGTATGCTCTGCTGTGACTACAATGGCTGTGATATAAGTGTTTTCTTTTTAATGCATGAATGCTTAGAATAGTCAAAGTTTAAATTGATCTATGACAGTTTCCAGTATGGAATTTGAATGCGCATTAATGCATGAATGCCAAGTTTTGTAAATATAAACTCGTACAGTTTGTTTTTTTGTATTGGTTCACGACATGTTCATTTAACCTTGGGAAAAGTTACAATTGTTACTACATAGGTAATTTAGGCTCTGTTATTCCATGTTATCAACTCCTTTGGCATACATTTGGTTTACTATGTTATTCCATGAAAGCATTTTGACGTCCAAATTGTCTGGTGGTCGGCATGTTTTATCCAGTTTTCTGGGTTATTGAATGCTAGTTACTGGGGGTTTGTTTAGTATTTTTGGTTTATCGTATTCCTTTAGTTGCATTTCTGTCTACAGTTCTATTAAGTAAGTATTTGAGAGTGCGCATCAATTATCAATCATCCAAACAAGCAGAAAAACTTGGTAAAAAAGGTGCAGCAAAGCTAGGATGACAGCAAGGGGGAGACGAGATCACCACACAGGAAACGTCAGCAGAATAAACTGTATGCTTGTTATTCCTCTTAGCCCAGCCAGCACAATGATCATGGAAATGAAAACTCGTAAAAAGCTCCCATGTTTTGTAAAGTTGGTTGTAAAATTCTCCTTCACTAACAGCATATTTGGTTCAATGAATGAAGTGAGATAATTATTCTGTGAGAATATAATAGAATAGAATAGAAAAGGAATAGCTATTACAAAGTTTGGTTTATAGAATGGAATAGAAAAAGAATATTATAAATATGTTTGGATAGTTAAAATATATCAAGGAATAAAATTAAAAATATTATTTTATTTTTTAATAAAATAATAATAGTTTTATTTAAAATAGCCCTTTAATTAATAATTTCTCTCTCTAATTTTTTTTTTGTTTTTTTAGTTTATATTTTCCGTTTTTCTTTCTTTTCTCTAACCAGTGTGGTCTTTGTTGATTGGCGTTGCCGCCGGAAATCAGAATCTACTTCAATGACGCCCGCGGTCACGCCTGGTTGTGGTTTTTGATGCACTCTTTTTTTTCCCTTATTGGTTGCTTTTGGGCAGCTTCGACGGTGGTAACGCCTTGATTTGGTCGTCGGCTCAAGAGCCAAATCTTCATGCTCAAGATCTCGCGTTTTGATGATCGACTTTGATTGTTCATATTTAGAGGGAACCGCAAATGTCTTCAAAAAAAATAACAGTGGCCGTGGATTGTAGTTGTTAGGATTCTACAGCATGTTTAGGGTTAAAGCTGTGATTTCATAAAATATTGGAAGATGTTTTGGAAAAAAAAAAAAAGAAGCTATTCTGGTGGCCATGGATTGTTATTCAGCCCTTTTAATGAACAACCCGTGCTATTCCTTGTAATAGAATAGCCTTTCTTTGAACGAAACGATAGTGTATGGTATACTCTTAAAAGCCATGCAGCCCAACCAAACGCTGTAAGGCTTCCAGATTTGGACCAAAGACTTTGATTGAGGTTGATAACAATAGTATACTAACTACTCGTATCCACCAGAGTGAATGTAAAATTTCCATTTATACTAAAACACAAAATATTTGTATTGTTGAGTATACGACAAAGTATATAAAAAAATCAAATGAAAGATCGACGGAAATATCTGAATCCGTGTGTGGTATTGTTCAAATTTCCATAACCTTTATCGAACGGCCTTGTTGCTGTTGTTGGCTGGCTGGCTTAACGGACAACGACTTTCTCCCTTGTTTATTCACCATTCATGATGCCTAGACCCCGTCAATTATAATGCGTATCATTTCCTAGCCAGCCAGTGATATTGTGATGCAGGAACAATCACCTTGTAACCGTAGTATAATGTAATGATTCCTAGGTATTGAAGGTCAAATCTGTCAGATTTGTGATGGAACCATTACGTAGAACTGAAGACTATGGTCTTTCCGAGCACAAATGTAACCAGGGAAAGTTCAATGAAAAAGATTGTGTTGATGAGACCCCTGTCAACTGTCCATCCAAATATAGTAATGCCTCCAGGATTGCCCTGCAAATACATCACTGCATGCCCAAAAAAATATGACTAAGCATAATAACTAGATGCATCAAAATCACAACATTAACCATCATAAATTTGTTTGCCGTAATGCCTCCAGAAAATTCCCACACCGTTGTGGGAGGCTTGGAGCATGAACAACCGGGCCAAGCCCAAGTCTTTGATGTAGGATTGATTTTGCCATAAATTTATATGAGCAAAGTTGAACAGATACTATCTTCCCCAGGTGCAGCCGGAGAAGAGAAACAGATTAGAATTTTCATTCTCAATGTTGCTGTAATCTATTCAACCATAACCCTTGATCAAATCACTTATGTCCCTCAATGAAATTCAAATAAAAGACTTCTCATGAGAAAGATAAACACAGAAAAAGCGTAAAAGGATAACCTAAAAAAAAAGACTTCTATGATAGAAATAACAGTTTTTAACTGTGCCTAGTGATAAACTAGGAGATCTATTACTTAATGCAAAACTAGGACATATGACTTGCAAACTAAATCTCGCCTGCCCTCTACAAGTAACCATTGATAAATGCTAAACTGGTTCTTGGATGCATAGCAAATATAAATCCAATTACTTGGCCAAAAGGATAAAGTAAGATTATCCATTATTGTTAAATGGCAATCAGTAAAATAGACTTCATAAAGTAGAATACCCATCTTCTGGTGGTTAGCATTGGATGAAGTATTGGAGTTAGAAGGTGCAACCGAACATTTCTCAAAGACCATATGAGCAGCTTTTTCATACCTACATAATTTTGTATGAACTCAGTAATGTCTAGGACATTCTTATTATAGTTTCATATAATCACAAAGTATTCTGGTTAAAAAGGTCAAGCAAGTGGCAGTGCTACTGTGTCTTTTCTCCTCATTTATTTATAGTGCTTGTGGAGGGTTCACATTGTTGCTTCATAATAAGCATGGTCCTAAATCTTCGGATGAGGAATAAAGAAACAGAATCTGTATAGAAACAAGATATATTTCATACCAAAAGCTTGTCTTCTGTGATATGAAGACATATAAGAAGCCAACTGCATGGTTGTAGGCATGGCAACATAATCCACCGACTCCAGATCACTTTCAGAAAAAGTCAAGTGTAGTGAGTTCAATTGATTGAAAGCTTCCATGTTCCCGACACTGTTCGAACCTCTCAGGGATTCATCAGTTGAAGTGCATGTTGCCAATGCATGCCATCTACTTGCAAGTGAAGCAATTCCTTGAGCTCTATGAGAAATTTTTGTGGCTGCATGCAAGCAAAGAATAATCCCAACAACTTGAACAATTGAGGAGACCTAGGAAGGCATGACAGAAAACAGACAACAACAAAAAAGACCCCAAAGAATTATATGATTACACTTTAAAAGAAAATATTCAAGGAATTAAGAAAATTTCCATGAGAGCTAGAATTCAAATTAGCAGCTTCTGTTCCTATTTAGTTGCATTAGTGATGCTTACAGAGTGCAGGAGTTAAACTATTTAGCTATTTTAATAATGCAGTTTATCCATTTAGAAAGTAGAGAAATAAATAGCTGCACTTACTGCAAAATCACCTCCATTTATGAAGTTAATCATTCCACCGTATCCAGTTGTCTGGAAAAGAGTCACAAATTGGCTAGCTGTGACAACCAAGAACTCTAAAAGAAGAAAAATTCTGAACCTATGGCTTATCTTGGAGAGATGATGCCGTAGTCGAATGTGCTCCTCTATTAATACCAGAACATCAAATTCTCTTTCCAAGAGCTTTGCGTAATCATCAAAGTGAATAACTTGCAAGTTGCAGACTAAATGAAACAAGATGCTGGCAGATAGACTAATCGTACTCACAAAAGTCCAGGACAAGATCAAAGCTAATAAAATAGCAACAGATATCCACCATGAATTGCGTTGCACGTATAAACTACGGATGATCTCACACACTGTCTTCAAAATAAAGCAGGGCAGCAACCACCATATCAGCAGGTGTATCGAATCCTATACAAAAGTAACTGAATCCAAATCAAGTAACAGTGATCGGCATAGCGAAACAAGAAAGTTTTTAAGTCTATATTACAATACTTACTATTACCAAAATTGCTGCTGCAAGGAACAACTACTAGGAGAAGATTCATGTCTCTAGTTTCATTGAATGATCCATTTATTAATTCAGAAAGAAAACCCTTTTTCTCATTGCAGAAATACAATTTCCAAATCCATAAAACAAGCAAAAGTGATAAATAATAGATCAATTCCAAGGTTAGGATTAAGCATCTTCTTTCTCTGCTTTAGTGGTGATCAATCCAACAACATTAATCCATGACTTAACATAGAATTATAATCAAAGATCAAAACTTTGAATGCATTAATCATGATTAAGCTCACTGTGATCCTCACTAAGAAAATTTTAACATTCAAGTTTAGGGAAAAAATGAGAGAAACTTTACCGAAATCTGCTTAACATAGAGGTTGGTAAAGCGAGCCATTTGGCCACCGTATCGATCAACAAACAGAAACCTTCTAATACCGTACTTTCTGAGATTAAAAGAAATGCAAAACAAAGAAACGGCGGCCAAACAAGCCTGAGAAGCCACGATATCCATCTCGAAATCCTTAATCTGGTACGTCTCGCAACCATCGCATTTGGAAAGTTCCAGCACTAAAACCGGAACCAAAACCCCAACCATCGAGAACGCCGCCCAAGACAAAGAAAAGCTCAGCAAAGAAGATTGATTGAAACCGAGGAAACTCAAAAACCTCTCCAACTTTTCCAAGGAATCATCGAGATCGTTCCTCGTTCGGATTTCTTGTTGCTGCCGGTTTTGAGCGGTATCGTTTTGGTGGCTTGAATTGAGCAGAGGGATTTGCGCGGGAGGTGGTTGCTCTGCTTCTGTCTGTACCTCAGAATCACCCATCGAAACAAAAACAGAAAATTTTTTTAAAGATTTTTAATAAATTAATTCAGATGTAAATTTCAAAACATTTTGATGATTGAAGCTTAAAAATCATAGTTTTCGTTTAGATCGAAGGAAAGAATGTGCTAGATGAATATCGTGGAGTACATTGGAAGTTATCCCCCGTGTACCTTTTCAAAAATTTTAATTTATGGGGGCAATTATTGAATGAGTTCCTTTTTATTGTTTTTGTAACGGTAATTTTAGGTTTGAAGGTGATCACTTGATGTCAGCCGTTGATTTAGTGAGATTAATGTGATTTTGATCAAGATCTGTCTAATTTCTTTGCTTCCCTGATAATTTTAAGTATGCGATAATACAAAATAAAAATAATATAAATAAAAAATATACAAATAATATAATTTAAAAGTTTAATAAAAAGTATAAATAAATTTAATAAAATATAATATAAATATATAAATTATTAATATTTTATAATTCACAAATACATGAATTGTAAAACCTTTTAATGTCCTTCGACCGAAAGCCAAGGGACGGACAGATACTCTGGGGGTATTTCACTAACTTGGAAATGTGATTCTCTCTTCTTTTTTTTTTTTTTATGAAAATGGGCAAAGGAAGAGACAAATGGTAAGTGGGCAAATGTCGGATCTGACAGATAAAAGAGCTGATTCCAATGTTGTAGTATTATTGTTTAGGGTCCCAATCTAATCATAACAATTACAATTGAAATCCCCTAATCTTTGAAAAGAAAAGCCTCGATTTGTTGTAATTAAGTTTTTTTTTTTTTACCGGCTCTTAATTTAAGAAATAAAAAATTATGTATTAAAATTTAAAATTATTATATATTATTTTTTAAAATAATTTTATAAGTTAAATTAAAATTTGAAATCGTTGTGATTAAATTTTTTATTTTTTATAATCCATTCCTAATGATTTTGATATAAAAAATGTTGAAATTCAGGAAAGTAACAAATCTTAGAGGGTATGGAGTTTCCCGCCAAAATTGAAGGTAATTTACAAAGAAAAACAATGAAAGTATGAGTTGTAAAGAAACATTAACCAACCTATTGGGTTTTTTGAGGGGGAGGGGGTAAATTTGGGGTAGTTGGTAGCAGTTTATTTTAATTTATAAAGTTAAAGTGGGTAATTAATGATTTAAAAGTGGATTAATGAAACAATTATTGGGAATAAAAAGAGTGGTAGGGGGCGATTAAGATTGATACGACTGTCTTTAAGGTTTGGGCAAATAATTTGCTTTGGTGGCATTCAACGTATTATAAGCGGAATCAGTGACAGTTGTCACCCATCTTAGATTCTTGTTATGTTATTATGTACTAATAAAAAATTAAAAAAATTTATAGTAAAAAAATACTAATAATCTAATAAATTAATACTAAAGTAAAAATTAGGTGTTTTGTTGACAAAATAAAATTTAAAATATTAAAAAATTAAATTAATAATATATGGTTTAATGGTGCAATTAGGGTTTACTTCTCTTATTTTAAACTAAATTCAAGTCTAAAATGTCAAAGGACACACCATAAACAGGTGTTTTAAACGAGAGGTTTAAAGTTTTAAAAAATATGTCATTCATCATCAATAAAAAAAACTCTACAAATTGAGATTAATTGAATGACATATATCATATATTAAAAATTAATTAAAAAATAAAACATGCATAAAATTTTTTATTTTATTTTATGAAATTAAAAATTTTCAACGTCAAATGTATTGATAGCAAACTCTTAAACCCAACACAAAAGTTTAAAGGCTTGTTAGCCCGCACAAGGAAAACTTAGATGAACCACAAACTCACAGCATGATACGGTGGATTATGGCCCAATAGGTAGGATAAACACAAGTCGAAACTTGCCTTTCTGTCTGAATAAGAGAAGAAACGAAACTTCCTTTCTTTATACGTGGGAAGGACTAGGGAATTAGCAGTACTCGTAACTCTTGCAGGATTCTCAAATTTTCTAAGATGATAGTAGACAATTGGGATTAGAATGTTAAAACGTGAAAGCGTGATATGTAAACATTTAAAATTATAATTGATATATAAAATCAAGATAAAATAATATTATAAATAAAATTAAATTAAATAATATCATATTATTTTATATTTAATATTTTTAAAAATTAATTAAAATAATTTATTTATCGATCAAAATTATTTTTTAAATTTATATAATTTAAATTATTAATATAATTTTTAAATGTATAATAAGATATTTAAATTTAATTTTATGAGTTAAAAATAATTTTTTATTTTAAAAATATTAAATTATTTTATATTAAAAAATAATATTTTTTATAATCTTATTTTTTTTAATTAAATATAAATTAAATACAATATATAATAATTACCGTATCATTTAAACAATAATCTGTACACCAAATACAATCTAAGGTGTGAAACTTTCGACAAGCCTATTCTACCCACGATAAAAGGGTCCACGTGGTCCTTAGAGCAGACATCACCTGTATAGGAAAATGCTTCACAGCTGCCATAAAGCGATGCAGTTAAGAAGAAGAAGGTATAATTTCTTCGATACCTCAGTTTTTCTCTCTTCCTCTCTCTTTCGGTCGAATGACTGAGAGAAGAGTAGTAGACTTGTTTTACAGAAAATAATTTTTAAAAATTAATTTTTTTAAATTAATTTTTTTATTTGAATAGGTTAATAAAAATATTTTTTATTATTTGATTATTTTTTCAAAAAAATTTTTTAAATAATATTAATATAATTATTAAAATATTAAAAATTATTTATTATTAAAATATATTGAATTTATTTATTTATTATCTTATATTAGCATAATATTATAAATATATTATATTAATAATATATTATTTATTAATATAATATTATTTATACATAAAATTATATTAAAAATACTGATAAATAATTTTACTCATTAATAATTTTTTAAAAAAAAATTATTGTCTTTTCAAATTTATAAGACAATTTCTAAAAAATTGATCTTATTTTTTTTTATTGATCAATAAATTATTTTTTATTAATCAATCAAATTTTTACGAAATAAATATTTAAAAATATGAAATTTATTTTTCAAAAGTAATTTTTTTTCGAAACAAATGGAACCATAATATATTGTAAATTTTAAGCTTGAATTTAAACAATTTTAACCCTCATTCTCGATATAAAAAAAAAATCAAGTGAATTGTAGTAAGTATTGATTCTTTTAGGACAATTGTTGTTAATTCTTTGTTGGTTTAACTGTTATTATTTTTAAGTGGTATTCTAATAGTATTAAACAAATACAAATACTAGCACAAAAAAAAAAAAAAAAAAAAAAACAACGGCGACATGTCCTATACTATCACTAACCTTAAAGTCTAGGTAGTGGTTCAAATCCATTGCCAAATTTGTTAAAGATGTATGCAAAATCAAAATGTAGTACCATCAAATTGGAACCGATAAAAAAAAAAAAAAAAGAATTTGTGACAGTTACCAACTAAAAAAAAAACAATTTGTTAACCACTACTTAAAAAAATGACAAGTGACGTGTTAGAATTTTCCCACACTACATAAATGATTTTTAAAAAATTGTTGGATTTTTAAAAATGAAAAAAAATCTCTCAAGTTTCATGTGATTAAAAATAAATATGATCATAAACGATTTATTAATAAAGTATTTAAATTTTTAAATTTTTTTATGAATTTAAATATATAAAAATAAAAATTATGGTTAGACTAAACTTGACAGTTCAACAAAATTTTAAAAACATCATAACTTCACTGTGCCAAGAAATCTTGCCAAGAGATTTCTTGGCAAATTGCAATATGATATAACAGCAATTTTGAATTATTTATTTATAATTAAAAATCACTTCTGAAAAACGTAGATATTTCCAAATTTAAGGTTTATTTTTTTGTTGAGATTTCTCACTCAAAACAAAATTAAAAAAATGCTAATTGCATCTTTGTTTAATTTCCTATATTTTAAGTCAACGAGTGCAGGGAGAGAGAAAGGAAGTGGACAGAAAGACGCCATTATTATTTAATTTTTTAAATAAATTATGCAATGTTTTTCATTTGACAATGATTAAATGGAAAATAATAAATTAGTAAAAGTCAATGAATATATTCATACTGATTTTATTATATAGAACAAAAATAATTCTCGAATATAACATTTAGTAGAGTGAAAAAGTGGGAGAGATCGGAGTGGGTAGGACCGTAGAAGAAAAATAAAAAATAAATAAACCTTAAGCCATGCTTAATAAGAGAGAGAAGTGAGAGAAAAAAAATTATTTTTCATTATTATTCACACAAAAAAATTTCTAATTAAAAAGATAAATGAGAGAAAATGAAAGAGATGTGACTGCATGAATTTCTTTTATTGTTTAGATTTTTTTTATCTTAATTTATAAAATATATCATAGTAAAAAATATAATTTTTATTTTTTTCTTTTGATAAAAAATTTATATTTTCTCTTCAATTTCCCATATTTTCTGGCAAACATTAATAAAAAGAATTTTTTATTTTTATTTTTTTTAATTTTCTATTTACAATAAGATTTTTCTTAATAAAGTGCAAAAGTGAAAGAATGAAAGAGGGTATGTGAAAAAGTTTTAAAAAATGATTTTTACAGATGTTTAATAAGAGAGAAAAACAAGAGAAAATAATAAAAATTTTGCATTTTTTATTCTTATTTACAAAGAGAAATTATTTCAAACTAGAAAAACAAAATGGACAGAAAATGAGAGATTAATTTACAAAATCAAATCATTCTGAATTAGAAAGATAAAATGAAGAAAAAAATGGAAAACGTGAGTTAAGTGTGAAATTTACAAAATTATCAATCTTTTTTAGATTTTATGTTTTTATTTTTATTTACAATAAATATAATAATAATATAACAAAAATTCATTTTTTCATTTTTCAAGCAAGGATGAAAAGCAATTTATTTTTTTATTTCATTTTTTTTTATATATTTAGGCTTTGCTTGGTAGAGTTGATAGAAATAAGAAAAGATGAAAAATTAGAAGATAAGAAAAATAGAAAGATGAATTTCATTGGTATGATTGGTTGGAAAGATGAAAAATTGAAAGAAAATATAAGGCTATGTTTGATTTAAGAAAATATTTTTTGTTTTTATTTTTTATTTTCATTTTCTAGAAAACAATTTTTGTTTTTGGTTTTTTGTTTTCTAAAAATTTAATTGGTAAATGAAAATAAAAATTGTTTTCTAGAAATGCAAAAATCAGAAAATAAATAAAATATTTAATGATATTATTATTAATAGCATCTAGCTATAAATATAATATATATTAATTAATTAATAATGTTAAAAAGTGTTAAAATATGATAACTTGCAAAAAATAAGGAAAAAAGTAATGAATATCCATTGTTTTCACAATTAAAAACATTTTTTTATTTTCATATTTTAACCCATTTTCATTTTTATTTTTTTAAAATTTGTTTTCATTTTCAATTACTAAATATGTTTTTACTTATATTTTTCTTCCAAGAAAATAAAAAAAGGAAATGACTATTTGCTGAAACCAAACACTATCTAATTTTCTTTTCATTCATTGCTTATAGAGTTGAAAAATAAAAACAAAGAAAATAAAATTTATATGATTTCACTATTATAAACTTTCATAAATTAAGATAAAAAAATATAAATATGATGGACAATCTTGTAAATATGCAACATATTCTCACACTCTCTCCTATTATCTCTCTTTTTTTTCTTTTCAATTTAAAATAATTTGTATTTATGAATAAGAGTGAAAATTGATAATTTTTTTTATTTTCTTTCCTTTCACTTTTTTATTCTATCAAGCACAACCAAAATTTATTTATTTTTTACTCCTTTTCACCTTATTATATCCATCATTCCAATCATGCATATCCTTAGATGGGGTTTGATATTATTTTCAAGATTATTGTGGTAATTTAATCACCAAAATAATTTTATTACTAAAGGTATTTTATCACTTATGATTTGGAATTACTTTATTTGGATAAGAATTATTATTTTTTAGTAATTAAAGATTATTGCATTTGGTATTATTCAAAATCAAATATTATTTTGCTTTAAAGTACTAAAATAACTATGTGCATTATAATAGCTACATAAGTTAATGATTTAAATATTATGTAAAAATAATAATTTGTAAAATATTAGTAATATTTTATTTACTTCATAATAAAATGTAATTAAATTATTAAATTAAAAAATATATATTTATTTAGGTAAACTAGTTTTTATAGTATAAATAATGTAAAAAAATATTTGAATTAGAAAATAAATCAATTTATTAAAATAAAATTATTATATTATTTATAAATTAAAAAATTAAAAGAAATTATACAAATTATTTTTGAACTTGTTTTAATAAATATTAATTTGAAAATATAAAAAATTAAAAAATATACAATTACAATTAATTTTGAGAATAAGTAAGTTTTTAATTTATATATTAAATTAATAATATTAACTATTATTAATTTTATATATTATTTATTTCGATAATAAAATTTTTTCATCTTTTTGAATGAGAATTATATTAACCTCCAAGGCAATGATTTAATAACTTTTGATGATTCAAAATTAGCACCATACAAAGATCATTAAGTGGTTACCAAACATGATTACCTAATCATCGTATGTACATAATATTTTGAGTGATCACCATGTACAAAAACCCTACCTTAATATTCTATAGATTGAATATAATACTTGAACTTAAGAGTAAAAAGACTTTATGAAGACAAAACATACAATTTAAAAATTTAAGATGAATAAATACAAAATAATGTAAAAATAACAATGTAAACAAACGAAAATTTCAACAAACTATTTATTTTTGTTCATTTATTAAGTTTAAAAAACAATCTTAAATAACCTTTTAATATTCATTTAATAAACGAACTGAATATAAAAAGAAGTCTGTTTTGTTTATTTATATTCATGAATATGTTAATTTAACATTCATGAACGAATTCAATAAATACTTGTTTATATTTTAATTTTATTACTTCTAAGATCTCTAATTTATGATTAAAGATCTTTTAACAAAATTCTAATCATAGTTTAATATTAATAATTGAAATTTACACTTAACATATATTAAAATCTTTCATAATTTTTAAAAAACATTAATGTAAATATAATTTTTAATCATCTAAAATAAACAATAAATAAGTTATAGAAGATACTTTTTATTTATAATCTTCCTATTACACATAGCTTAAAAAACAATATAAGAAATGAAACTCTTTATAAATAAAAATATTCCCTTGATAGCTTAAGACATTGGCTCGTAAAACCATTTCAAGTTACACTTATAATTAAGTATTATATTTATATATTGGATGGAATAATCAATTATTATATTATTAAATAATCAATTAATATATTATAATATAATTAAATAATTAAACTCACACATCATGGGACTTTAACCTAAAATCTTAAGGTTTTAAAGCCTTATTCTTACCACTAAATTAACATTACATTGATTGCAAAATCAATTTCTTAGTTATTAATTTATGTTTGTTTATATATTAATAAAAATATTTGTTTAATATTCACGAATAAATTTATATTTGTTTATATGTTTATGAATATGTTTATTTAATATTTATAAATGAATTCATTTAATTTAAACAAATTGATATAAACTATTGAACATTTTAATATTTAAATGAATAAAGTTCGAAGATAATGTAAATTTTAATTTAAATGAACAGATTTCAAACAATTGAATATTATAATATCTAACCAAACCGAACTCAAAGATGATGTAAAATTTTTTATCAAATACAAATAACTTTAAAAATAAAAAAAATAAATTATGAACATAACAATAACATAATAATATTAGTTCATATTTGATTGGATTCAACATTGTATATAAGGATATTAATTTTACTCATACTTAATGGAGAATTTCACTTTTTCACTTGAATGAAAATAATGATAGATATTATATTATAAGGATGAAGATGGGGATCGAGATATGTATGAGTTTAAAATTTTTATCAGATACAAAAATGAAGATAAGTATTATAGTATTCATTTTGTATACATACATATATTTTACATATATATTTTTTATATATTTAATAAATAATTTTTTTATTAAATAATATAAATGATTGTTTTATTAGAATTAATATATTTTTATTTAAAATATATATTAATATATTTATAAAAAATCATATAAAAAAGTAAGATAAAAATAAAAAAATCTTTTAATTTTTAAAAAATTTATAAGTATAAAAATTATTCATACCTAATAAATACTCATAAATTAAAAATATTCGTTAAATATCAATATAAAATAAATATAATATAAAAATTTAAATATGAGAATACAAAATATTCTACCGCCCTGTACCTATCCAAACATAACCGAAGATTATGCGGAAAAGTTGAGCTTGGGTCTGTGAGCTGCATGTAGACAATTTAATTCTCCTTCAGCTTTGTACCAAAAAAAAAGGGGACAACCTTCCGCTTTCCTTTCTCAAATGGGAAATGAAAAATAAATAAACAACAATTTAATTCAGAAGTAGCTGAAGAAGTTCAAACTCTGTCATCCATTTCTCCAAAATTGAAAAAACAAAAAATCCTCCATTCCAACTTCCCATGGCAAACTTCGTCGATACAAACTCCGGCTTTTGCTCCGAAACGATGACGTTCCATAGCCTCCGACCTCCCATTCCACTCCCACTCGAATCCGCACCCGTTTCAATAACCGACTTCGTCTTCTCTCTGCTCCACTCGTCCCCTCCCTCCTTCACCGCCATCGCTCTCATCGACGCCACCACGCGTCGCAGTATTCTCTACCCCGAAATGATCTCCCGCTTCGAAAACCTAGTCACCTCACTCGGCACGCACTTCGGCCTCTGCAAAGGCGATTGTGCTTTTGTTTTCTGCTCTAACAATATTTACACTCCGATTCTTTATTTGTCTCTCTTCTCTCTCGGCGTCGTTATCTCTCCCGTAAATCCAGCTGCTACTGTCCCCGAGATTCATCACCAAATCCGACTTTCAAAACCGGCAATCGCTTTTGCCTCGTCGGATTCAGCTCATAAAATCCCTTCGCTTAAACACGGAATCGTTACTATAGACTCGGTTGAATTCGAGTCATTAATGGAAAGTCAAAGTGAAAAAAATGGCAAAGAAGGAATCAAAGTGAACCAATCAGATGTGGCCACGATTCTCTATTCGTCCGGCACAACCGGTCGGGTCAAAGGAGTTGCATTAACTCACCGTAACTGGGTAGCGACGATTGCCGGTGGAATGCGTCCAGTGAGGAATTTCCCTATTTTTGCTTTTTGTACGGTTCCATTATTTCATGCCTACGGATTAGCATTCAGTTTGAGGGCTTTGGCGTCGGGGGACTGCGTGGTGATAATGGGAGGAGGTCGGACATTTGATCTGAGAAAAATGTACAGAGTTGTCGAGGAGTATAGAGTTAGCCACTTGGCTTTGGCTCCACCTTTGGTTGTAACGATGGTGAGGGATGCTGAGATAATGTATGCCTATGACTTGAGCTCTCTTGAAGTTGTCGTGTGTGGAGGAGCTCATTTGAGTAAGAGTATGATCCAGAGGTTGAGACAACGGTTGCCCAAAGTTCAGCTGGCGCAGGTAACACGTAATTAACACTTAATTAGAGTGCTAATTAATTAATTAATTAATATGATCGCCTTTGATTTGGTGAATGAACTTTTTAATTTTTGTAATGAAGTCATATGGGCTAACTGAAACAACGGGGCGAGTGTTTGGTACAATGGGTCCCGACGAAAGCCGACTAGAAGGTGCGACGGGGAAGCTTATGGCAAATTGTGAAGCCAAAATTGTGGATCCTGAAACTGGTGCTGCTTTGCCTCCTTCCATGCCTGGAGAGCTTTGGGTTAGAGGAGCTCTTGTGATGAAGGGTAATTATTAATTCCTGTATATTAATTAACTGTCGTCGATTAGTCTGTTTACATTTTTGTTTTGGGGTTCAGGATACGTTGATGATGAGGAGGCAACTGCTGCGACTTTGGATACGGAGGGATGGTTAAGAACTGGCGATCTTTGTTATATTAATAATGAAGGTTTCCTGTTTTTTGTAGATAGGATAAAGGAGTTGATCAAATACAAAGGCTACCAGGTTGGTTCTGAGCTCTCCAAAAAAACGGTGCCTGAAAAAGCTTATTCAATTTTATGCTTTTTGATGTTGTTGGTTTCTCAATGAAACAGGTTGCCCCAGCTGAATTGGAGCATCTACTTAATTCCTATCCAGATGTTGTCGAGGCTGCTGTGGTTCCGTATGTGACTTTCGTTTTCTTTCTTTCAACCATTATTCGACTCTTTACGTTGCTTGAAAAGACTTTATTTATCCTGCCAAGCGCCAGCTTTTGACACTCCTAATCGCTAACAGGTTTCCGGATGAGGAAGCGGGCCAGGTACCGGTGGCCTTTGTGGTCAAACAATCAGGGAGCAGCATTGATGAGTCAAAACTCAAGGATTTTGTTGCCCAACAGGTGCGAAAGGAAGAACATGCTTTGCTTCTAACCTAACCCATTTCTTTTTCATCTTTTTGACGTTCTCGAACATTTGATGTCAGGTTTCTCCATATAAAAGAATACGAAGAGTAATGTTCATTGATTCATTGCCAAAGAGCGCCTCAGGTAAAGTGCTGAGGAAGGATTTGGTGATCAAATTGTCAAGTGCTACCTCCAAGCTGTAATATTCTTTTGCTTCTTTGCGTTTTTATGATAAAAAAATCGCCATATGTTGTTTATCTATGTTGTATAACCGAAGAATTGTTGCATGTCATTACAAATAATCGAAAGTAAAAAAATTTGCTCTTAAAATAATGGGAATATGAAATTCTCAATTCTATTCCATCTATAAGGTATTTTAATTGTAATGAAGCACATTTCACTGCTCTATTCGACTAATGAAAGAAAACCAAGGAAAGGAAACGAACAAATGTTGAAATAAAAGTTGCATAAGGACCCCGTCCCGCCCAAATTGTTGTAACAGTTGGGCCAATTCGTTGCAAGAATTCACTGGGTAGAAATGAAACATATTGCATGCACGACAAGAGTCAAGGCCCAAGGAGTAAAAAAGTTGATACTTCCCAGAAAAAAACAAAAGAACTGCCAAAAGCGATTCAACGTCGTACCTTTATCTATTTGTTTTCTAAAATCCAGCTAGCTGAAACATGGAATTTGGAATGTTCGAAAAAGTTGCGATCCAGTCAGTTAATGTTCCGAAATAGTGGCTTCAATAACCATCAGCACGTCTTGAGTTTTCATCAAATCAATGGCAGGCCAGAGCTAAGTGAACTGGCTTATTGGTGTACCTAGTTGGCATTTATTCGTCAACTTTAGTTTTTATTTCGAAAAAATACGTATAGAAAACAAAGAAAAATTTTGGAAGAGTCCAAACCGAGTATTTTGACTCAAATAACAGAAAAACATGTATAATTGTAATTTTCCGTTCTCTATTTTTCAAACGAATTATTATCATTTGATTTTCCCTTCTGGATTGGTTGGATTAAACATATTTAGAAACCAAAATATTTTATTTGGTTTTGAAAACCCAACCAAACCGATACATACTTAAACACCCAATTAAGCATTCCTATCAGAATTTGCTCCAAAATGTTGATTGGGATGGTTGCAATTTACAAGTATGCTTCTGAGCTCTGCACAAAGAAAATGGTGCACCAACTACAATAGAAACATAAATAAAAGAAACCTAACATTACCATAACTACTAAGGCCTAGATAAAGCTAAATTCATCAGATAGAAATGCTATTGGGTATTCCACGACCAGTAACTCCAGGACCTGATGAAGGAAGCAGCAGTTCATACGGGGGAATGCCTGCACCGGTTCTGTTTTTAAGGCAGGTATCCTTGTTTCTTTTATTTATGGTTTCCTCTATTTCCCCTAGTTTAGCTGAGAATTTGTCGAACATTTTCAAGACATCATGATCATTGATCCAGCTCCTGTGAAGATGGTTCATTTGGCCCAAGTACTCTTCATCTGGGGAATGAGTTGACAGGGTGTCTTGAACAGCCATGACTTTGGTTGCTTGAAGCTTTGTTGGCAAAGAGGACAGAAACGTGCGCTGAGGGTTCTGAATAAATTTCTCAAAATCATGGTCAGTTTCTTGTGGGATGAGTTTTCTCATGAGAGTGGGACGGTTTGGCACATATCCTCCAAATGGGTACTGCCCAAAGTTTATAGCCGCATGCTGACCTGATGCTATCCAGATCATTGTTGTAAGTATGCCAGACAAATCTTCTTTTGTGGCAAGTTTAGGCCACCAGGGTTCATTCCTTTTGTCATAGTGACCTCTGTTCTTGATCTCATTCCACCAGGCTTGGAGCTCAATATCAGATGTGACAGAATCAGGTTCAGTATAAAAGTGTTCAACATACGATTCTACCCATTCTTTGATGGCAGACCAAATAAGCAGCCCATCTGCTGCGTAAGGGTAGTCTTCAATCACAAGTTTCACGCCTCCAGGCACTGAAGGATCCTCCACTGCCATGCCCCTGAAAATTTTATTACCACTATCTAATATTGTTTTGAAATGAGGATAATTCAGCAATACTAGAGCACAAAAAAACTAGCATCTAAGAATTGAGGATCAAGGTTTAACACATAAAATAGAACCTTACCTCCGAATAAGATCCGCAGGCAACGCTTCCATGTCAAAACGCCAACTCTCATAAGCAGCAGAGCTTAGCTCCATGGCATACTTTCCTGGGCTAAAACAAGCCTCAATTATCCCACCTCCATTAACTAAACTTTGTCGTGCGAGTGCATTAATTTCTAGTGTGTAGCGCATATGAGGGTGAAGCAGCTTATAAATAGGGTGCATTGAACTAAGCTGTCTGTGAGTCGCAATTATGTATGGCTCCATGCAGGCATGAGTCCGCAACCTAAAATTTCCCAATTACCACCATTTTAGAAAAAGTACATCTAATTACATTTTATATGAATTCCCCCTCCCCCACTAAATTCTAGGTCTCAGATAATAAATACTAAAGTTATTGAGAGATATGAGCAAATTTAAAATTTCCCAGGGGTTTTGAAACTGTTAATGTCTTACCAGTGATTCACTAGCTGATGCACACCGGCATCATTTGAGCAAACATGAGCTTTGGCTAGTTTCCAGATCCAATGTGTTGTAGCATCATGTCCGTGAGTATAAACATATTTATTCCGAGATGACAAAGGAGTTGGAGGAAGTGAAAGCTCAATAGCTATTGGTGTCAGAATACCAGTCTTGCTATAAAAGAACACCGTCCTCGATGCATAAGCTTTTCTCCCGGGTAAGTTATTCATCCTCTTGATAAAAGGCAAAAGCATGTCATGGAAATCAAGTATAAACAATCTTTTTTCCTCAATGGCCTGAAACATCGTCAGACAGCAAAAGAGCAGTCTTAGAGAATGAGATGTCATTTTTCAATATTATAGGTGGTTTTTAATGTTTAAAAAAAATTAGTAGAATTAGGAGAGACAAATGTACTAGCTCTACTTGCATCAGAAACCCAACTAGGTATAATTTGATACAAATATTTTAGGGTTGATGGTTTTGTTCCCTATTAAGAAATGAGGAATCAGCCCCAAAAAGTCCTCTATATACACCTGATGTTGCACAAACAAAGCAGTCCCCAAATTTCCACCTTCAAAAAGCAAAAGCACTCGGAAACTATTGAATGTCCATTGCAAAATATAGGACTCTTTTCCTTCTAGGTTTACTATAATGGACATGTCATCAGAAGAATGCCCATAAAATGATTCACTAGAAAAGAAAAGAAAGGATCATGTGAACATAGCTGGGTAATGCTGGTAGATGTTAATACCTTCTCCACACTCATTCCATGAAGTTCTTGCTCCATCAATTCCTTTGTGATTGATGATTCTGGAGGGCCATAAATGGAAGGTTCTAGTTTGCTAAGAATTGGAAATTCCTGTAAAATTAAACAAACTTAAGGATTTCAATGAAGCAATTGTAAAGCCTAATCTACACAGACAGCAAAATAAACTACAAATAACCTTCAAAATCTCAATATTCACAGGATTGACCCCAGCTAAAGCCTGGCGCGCAAATTCATTGTCTCGCAACCATGCAAATCTGTCCCCTGGAAACAGAAATCACAAGATGAATTGCAGAAAAGAAATAATGCTCCATTAATGAAGAATGTTTTTAATATGAATGGAGATGGCTCATAGACCAATGCAAGCATAAGCAATTAGCCTCATTTTGGTCTAATTTACAGAACGAACTGAAAGGCAAAGAATGAATGAAGCATACATACTTCTTATAACAGCTGGGATTTCATATATCAGCAACTTTTGGCCGACACTGAGAACTTGTTTCATCATATTGCCAATAAATAGATTGTCGCCTAGTTCTCTTTGCTCATCATCTTTCAAGATGAAACCATCATTGTATAGCTTATCTATGTCAGAAAAGCATGTGAATGGGATGTCGGAACTTGAAAATGTAGCAGCAATGGATGGTACAAGATTGTGAAGAAGTGCTTTCAACCTTCCAGCAGAGAAAGTTTCCTGCTTGATCTCCTCAAAGGCCTCATCCCGAGGTACATAAACAGGATGGGGCTTTTCAATTCTACTCTCACAAAGTGGATCTAAATGAATCATCAAATGCGAGCATATGAAATTCTATGTTAGTGATGCAGAATAGGAATTTTAACACATAGAATAACATAGTATTACTTTGAACAAATTACCTATCTTAGCAGGAGGTCGGCCAGTTCTACAGCGCCTAGGATAAGGCCTTTCCTCACCACCCAGAACTGGCCTAGCGAGATCTTCATCCTTGTCAGGTTTGCCTAAATCATTATAGACATCAAAATCATAAATTCTTTCATGAGGCTTTCTCTCTCCTTTCCCGTTACCATGAACACTGAGTAAATCTTCCCGTCGTAGATCTTTAAGGCCAGGTGGTGTTTGTGATGGTAAGTATGCCTGTTCATTACAAAGAGGCACTGCTTAAATAACCCTACTCGAATAACCTCATCGTGAATGAAAATAGGAAACCACTAGTACAAAGTTCTTACCTGATTTCTGAATATAATTCTACTTTCTGGATTATCATTCCGAGAATGGATCCATGTATTTCCAGGAAAGAAAATGGGGCCTTCATCAAAACCATGAATAACAATCTCCAGCAGGTGAAATTCCTTGCCATGAAGGTTTGTAATGAGAATAGCCCCCGGTTTACCGAAGTCAGATGGGACAGTAAAATCAGCTACATATTCAAGTATGTTGGTATGCTCTGAAGGCTTAGGCAACCAGCCCCTTACAGAAGTCTCTACACTCTTCCCCGAGTTAGTAACTGTAAAAATAGATCATTTCACTTTCAGTCAATAAGAGAATTAATTGGAGATTCCTGATATAAATTTCTAGCAAACAAAAGGGAATCTCATGCATCAAGAAAAATATGAAAAAAATAAGCACTGACAATTTGATGACTCTGCCATATCAATAAGCAAAACTATCATATTCAATACTTTCAACAATGTAAGAAATCAATAAATGCAGATGCAGTTCAAACTTCAAATTTCAAACCCACCAAAATCCTATATTGTCTTGTCACAATCAAGACACATAATCAGACCAAGTATCCCTTAAAGTACTCAACCAAGAACTAAAATCAAAACTTGAGACAAAAAATAAAATACAGATTCCAGTTAGAGAAATGAAGAAAACAAACCAGGATCAATCTCTTCACTTATAAGCTGAATCAAGATCCCACGACCAATCCCGTTCATGAACAGTTCCCATTGATTCTCAATCTTCTCTGTGATCTTCTCCTTGATCTTTTTCCTTATAGTCACAACGGCCCTCACTTCCTTAACTGAAGAAGAACCAGAAACCAATGACCCGTTAACGCCTTTTTCCTCAGCTGATGACTTTTTTGATGGCTCCACAGTCTTGTCATCACTGATAACAGCACGAACCAGGGGCCTTGTCCTTATAGTCGACGAAAATTGTACGAAACCAGGAACCCCATTGAGCCGTGAAGGTCGGCGGAGGTCAGAGCCGGAGAAAGTTGACTTGAACGAAGGGAGTGTCTTCACAGCTAACATAATTTTCTCTTTGTTATCAAAATCAGAATCCTCGAAAAAAAAAATCCTTTACCTATAAAGAACAGGTTGGAAACGATATTTCTTCCTTACGTCATTTTAATATTTTCTTCCTTGGATGGTGACGCTTTCTTTATTAAAGGGTTTTTTCTTTTTTTTTTTGTCTGAATGGGAGGAGTTCTTCTAACTTATATAAGTTCTAACATGGTTAACCTTTTTCCTAGTAATTTGTCTGGAAGACTAGGCTACTGTCTAAAATGATTTACGTCGAAAGATTAGCAGACTCTCGATGTAAAAGTGCGTGCAATTCACGGTCCAATATATATATACATATGAGTTGAAAGTCACTATCTCCGTTTTCAGTCATACCGACAGCAGAAAACATTTTATTTAAAAAAAGAAAAAGAAAAAACGAGTGTCAAAAATCGCGTGGAGAACGTGATAGGGATTGGATAAATTAATATAAAAAATTGATATATTTATTATTATAAAAATAACACTTAAAATTTTTATTAGAGGATTAAATCAAGAGTTCTTTTATTTTATTTTTAAAACAAATACTAATGAGTTTTGGACTTATCCTTATGGATGTACTGAGTTTAGTTGATTTAACGCTTTTTTTATCAGTAGTTCAGATAAGGTTTAAAATTATCATTTTATTTACAATGATGAAATAAATTTATCATGAATGAATATAATTTTATCACTTTATTTTTAATTTTATTTTTTTGATCCATTGTTTTTATTTTATTCAAAAATTAAAAAAATAAAATATTCAAAAAAATAATTTTTATTTTCTCATCATTAAAATTTAACTATTTTTAATCAAATTAAATGTACCATGATAAATTTTTATCTTCTAAAAAATGAATAATAAGTTCGATCCATCTCATTTAAAGTAGAATAATAAATTTGGACTTAATAATCCATCAATAATGTTATAAATGTACATAGATTACTTATAGAGAGAGTGAAAGAGACAGAGAAACTGCAGTTGAAGCTGATCCAACTCCCAACTATGATTAATTAAAGCATTTAGTTTCTCTTGAATGATCAATGATTATTAGTAGTAAATTATAATTACCATAGAGCTTAGATTATGTTGGGCTGTTATATTTTAATTTTATTAATTTGTTATTAGTGGATAAATGAAAATAATAAAATTAATTAATTTGACCTAAGCTTATTAAGATATTGATCCTAACATGCAATATTCATAATTGCATTATGCTATCTTTCTATTTTCTCCTGTTATTTTGCTAAATTTATTTTTAAAATTTAAAAATTTCACTTATTATTATAGATAATTATGACTATTAAATTATTTTATAATCATCAAATTTTGAATTAACTTATAAATTTAAAATAAATAATAAAAAGAATTAAAGTAATATTGGTACAGTATTGCATTGGAAGTAAGTGGAGGATCTTAATTATCTTATCTCACCTCAAAATATCTTCAAAGGGGGGGTTTATTTGATCATATTGAAGGTTTGAGCAAAAAGCAAATGTACTTGCTCCTTCCACAACCAGGTAATGACAAACATAAAAAGTCACAGAAAGTGTCCATAAAAGTTGATTCACATGCAAGGCTGCGAAAAGAAAAAAGAAAACAAGGTCTGTTATCTTTCCATTTCAACCATTAAACAAAAGTTTTTTTGCTTCTATTTTCCCGAGCATTTGACACGAGATGATTCGAATATTAAAATATTTCTGACACCCCTCCAAGTTGAATGGATATGTAGGTCACTTATGGACAACCATTCACTTGTATTCTGCTAAGTTGTTTTTTTCTGAAATGTTTTGTCGTTTCATATAGCATGGAAGGATGCTGGAACTTGAAATTTCTAGCAGGGTCACACTCACATGGCCTCATTAAAATCATTAAAATTAGTTTTATACTTTGTGCACATTATCACATGCACATGCACATTGCAGATCATATAATAATAATAATATAAGATTGGAAGACTTGAATTTGCCTTGTTGGATTTCCCATACCATAAATTAATGATAAAACAAACAACTATGCATGTAATTATACCAAAGACAGTGGAGGTCGTTGTAAAATTCAAGGAATCAAACGTTGGTAAAGCCTTATAAATGGAGGAAATAGCCGGTGGCTCAGGACACACTCTCAACGCAACTTCGGTCCTAGTTCAACTCATTTTTGGTCATGGTTGGATTAGTTTTTAAGCTTTTCCAGAGCATTTTCTTTGTAATTTACTTTTAGATATTAAATTTGGTGAGTTATAAGCATTCAAAGTTCTAAAGCAATCTATAATTTACTTTATTCATTCAATTTCAATCACGTATGTACAAGTTTATCATGGTCGAGAGCTTCTATTTTATAAGCGTTCTTTGTTTTGTGTTGATTTCGGTTCTAATTGATTTATTTTTACTTAAAGTTGTTCTTTAAGCATTGTCGATTCCATATTTTAAACAATCTGATCTGCTACTTCAAAGAGTTGGCATTTGCACGTGGAAAGTGGGACACTTAACCTATGGAGATATGGTAACAACCTATGGAGATATGGTAACATTAATTGTCTCAACACATTTTCTTTAGTGTTGCCAATTTCTGTGATAAAACTGGTCCAGGAATCAGGATCCTTCTTTTCACGAATTGACATGCATTAAAATAGGCAGTGCTTTTGTGGTCCCAATGTTTCCATTCGTCCAGAAAGTGTGGTGGACCTGATTGATCACTTAAAGGTTACAGAATGTAGCCAATGGAGCAGGCACTGAATGGAATTTCACACTAAAATATTCCCACACTGAGTTTGAACTTTGAAGTGCAATTCCATCTTTTGTAGAGAAGCATATATTGAAAGTTGAAACTAGGGACATAGGTTTGCTAAGTGCTAACTAGGCTGAAAATGGTGTATGTATATTTGTACATAAGCAGCCTGCAACCTGGGAAGATTATTAGATTGTTTGATTTGGTATTAATGCTGGAAACAAGAGGAATAATGTTCAGCTCATAATCAAGTCCGATTGAAGCGACTGGATATCATGCTTGGTTACATCAAATTGCAACCATTGTTAACAATGCTCGAGTGCAAGCAAGCCATTGCACAGTAGGTTTTGTTACACCAGAAACTATGACGCACAGTTTTAAATTGTAATAAGTAGAACATAAGTTTCCAGCAAACTTGGACGAACAAGCAACTCAGTAATACCTGGCTTGTTCCTGCTTTGCTTGCTGCCAGCAGGATGGGTTTTTTGTCTGTTCTTCTTGAAATGATCATAACGTTCGATAGTTAGGATGCTCATAATTTTAATAACGAAAAGTAAATACATGGTGAAAGTTGCAAGCATTTTCTATGGAGACTAGAAGAGGAAATAATTCCGAGACAGGGGAACTGTAGTTGCTGCATCACAGGTGAGAACCTCACCATCAGCTGTCACAATATATGTTTCTGGGCCTACTGTGATATTTGGGAGTGCATTATTGAGTTTCATGTCAAGCTTGGTCAGACTTCTGGTATTCCCAACAGCTTCTACCCTTTTCTTGAGTCCATATAACTCTTTAATTCCGCAATTTAAAGCAGCCTGTTTGCAAGGGTAAATGTAATTCTACTTATTTATCCTATATACACACATGGAAGGAGAGAGGAAGCGAAGGAGAGATAGAGAGATTCATGCCTTGCTGATGAAAGCAATGGAATTAGCACTTCCAGCCTTGCCAAATGCTCCAAACATCGGCCTTGACAACACCTGTGGCAACTCTTGTCTTCAATAAAAAGTGAACTTGGAATTTTTCAATTGATCTCACTAAAAGGCCAGTATGGTTGCATTAGCTAGTAACAATAACTTATGAATCATTGTTCAGACAGTCTTTAATATTACAGATCATTAGAAATGTGAACAAGATTAGATGGGTGCAAAACTAGTTCAACAGTCGGTGTCTAATGCTTGAAATCATTTTCAAGCAGATTACAACTACCATTCCAAATTTTTTCTTTCTTATTATCCATTTCCTTTTAGGATAGGAGAGTAAGAAGTTAATACCCATAATACTGCCATACAGGATAATTTGTTAAGTGAAGAAAAGTAAATTGAAAAAAAATAATCTTCTATAAGAAAACATATAACAGTTTACCGGCTGAGGTGTTGGGATGCTTGCATTAGGATCTCCCATATTTGCCCAAGTGACTTCACCACCTTTTACTACCATTTCAGGTTTTGCCCCAAAAAAGGATGGCTTCCATAAAACAAGATCAGCCAACTTTCCCTCCTGCAGATGCATATATGTTTTTGACATAAGGAAATTTCAAATAGTTAGAAAAGCCAAAAAAAAAAAAAGTAACACACACTCACATACACACAACAGTTAAAAGAGGTTGAAAATAACATACCTCTACTGAACCAACAAATTCTGCAATCCCATTAGCAATAGCTGGATTTATGGTGTATTTTGCAACATAACGTTTGATTCTTAGATTGTCATTGTCTAAGCCTCCAGGACCAATTGGCCCCCTTTCTGACTTCATCTTGTGAGCAGTTTGCCAACTTCTGCTTATCACCTGGAAAGAAAGAATTCAACTTATGTCAGCTTTAGATCATGGAACTATCTGAGCTGTCATTTATAAGAACATGCAAAATGAGAGATATCTGCTATATAGAAGGTTAACCATGCATGCTACTCAGAATTGAGCATGACCAAAGCAAGATTATATATTTGACTAACAAAGATGTTCCCACTGGCTTCCCGCCCTGCTTTTTTTTATAAGACCCATTACGTAAAGTTCAGATTTGTTGTGTCTGATGCACTATTTCTCTTGTCATCCTTCACAAAATGTTTGTTACCTTCATCCTAAAATTAGTTTGCTACTTTATTTACTATAATAACCAGACACTGCTTTCAATTATTCCAAATGCTCACACTCAAGTCATAGAAGACAGGTCTCTTGTTTCTACCTTTGATGGTCATTTAAACATACAAAAGTTTCCATATCAGTGGCCACTACTCACACAGACTTTTTCTAATGAAATCAAAGCATGTGAAGGAGTAAGAGTAGTAGAATTTAAAAGAAAACCTCTCCCATGCGACCCACAGCCTGTGAATCAGAAGATATAATGCTGATTGCCCCCGTGTCATGCAGTATGTCTTCTGCAGCAATGGTTTCAGCCCTAATCCGTGATTCGGTAAAAGCTACATCTTCTGGAATATCCTTGTTAAGGTGATGGCAAATCATCTGCTAAGATAGGAATGGATGAGAATGGGACAGGCAAAATCCTGCAGATCTAATATGTATATACTATTATCTTCTCATACCAGCATGTCAAGATGTTCATCTACAGTATTGGAAGTATAAGGGCGTGTTGGGTTTGTTGACGAGGGGAGGACATTTTTAACACCACATACTTTGATGATATCTGGAGCATGACCACCACCAGCACCTTCACTGCTCAAAATTATATTAATCATGAACATTAAAGAGCTAAACCTGACTGGTTAACCAGAAAATTAAGAGACAAGATAACTCTACCTTGTTATGAAACAAGAGAAACATAGTCATGCTCAATGAACTCATAAAAGTTACAATTCTGCACTTTTTAATGTTCCTTTCACAAGGCATCGAAAAGAGCCTTAGTGAAATTAGTAATTAGTAATTCAGATTTATCTCCTCACATATTGTATTTCTGATAATTACTCAAGTTTTTTTTTTTTTTTTTTGAGGGAGTGGGGGATGGACATGAGTTTATACCTGTGATAAGTATGAATCGTTCTTCCTTTAAATGCAGCAATTGTGTGTTCCACAAATCCAGATTCATTCAAGGTGTCAGCATGTATATTAACCTGCCAAAATCAATAGATATAAAGGACACTTGTATGGTTAAAAATGTAATTAAAAATGAACTTGTAAAGGTCAGAAATAAAAGCTCAGAAATAATTGGCATTCTTGTTTTCTGACCTGGACATCATATAGTTCTGCAACAGTCAAACAATTTTCTATTGCAGCAGGAGTTGTTCCCCAGTTCTCATGCAGCTTCAATCCCATAGCTCCAGCTTTGATTATTTCATATAGCTCATCAGGTTTGGAACCATTCCCCTAAGTAAGAAAAAGTAAAATTGAGGGCAACCGAGGGAAGTTCTAACCAACCAATATATGTCAGAGTGTGGAAGATAGGTCCATCTAGCTAATGCATAGAAAAACAAAAAAAAAAGGAGAAAATATTATGTAAAGAAATATAAGCTTACCTTCCCTGTAAATCCAAATTTAGAGGGAAGTCGTCAGTGGACTGCAGCATCAATTTCATTTGCAGTGGAGCTGGTGTACAAGTAGTTGCACGTGTCCCTTCAGCGGGTCCAGTCCCACCTCCTACTAATGTCGTAATTCCTACACTAATTTGGAAGGTTCAGTGTGTAACGCATTTATATTTAATAAAGATGTATGATTCTATTAACTAAGTTTTCTCACTGTTTTGTTCATAAACGTTTTACAAACATGCATTTCCAAATTCACAGATGTATTAAAGTATTTATATATGCATGCATATGTGTGTGTATTTCTTCATAGTCCTGAAATTTTATGGTTAGGCAGCAAGTTTATAACCATTAGAGAACAATTTTGGACCATGTCCCTGTCTTCCCCAGTAGACTGGGAAAATTCGAATATGCTGCCCAAGACCAGAAGAAAGTTAAATGGTTCAAAGAGCAGCTGACAGAAAACAAAACTAACAAACAATCCAATCAGGGATGGCTGAACGCTTTTACAGAAGAATGATGTTAACTATTAGCTATATGTAACAATAAGAGAAACAATTTCCAACTTGATCGACATGCTATTCCATCCAGCAAAATCTGTTTGCTTAAAGTAATGGATGGTCCCTATGACATTCACACTTCACATGGTTCCTTCAGAATGCTTTGAAACAAATGGAATCTATCAAACAGATCTGAAGGGCCTCTTATCGTCTCATTTCAAGAAATGCAATCTGCTATCTCTTCTATATTCAAATACTTGTCTAAAAGTGTGAGCTGTTCACAGTGTATGGCTCAAACTTAGATATATCTGAATAGACTTTAATCAATTCTTGATCAGCTGAGATATCAGTCTATGATGTTCTTTTAATACTACTGTTACTATGGATACTGCCTGTAAAATCTTGAAGTAGTCTAGCCTTTTCTTTCTCATACTTTCAACATTGAGCAAAAGAAGGATGACACTGGAAAGTAAGACCATCGCACCAGAGAAGGTCCATGAACTGGGGACCCAGATATGGTCCTAACCGTCAAGGAAGTTTACAGGGTTTCATTTGCAAATGAAAGCAAAATACCTTTACCATTGAACTAGAGAATGATGGGAACAAGGAGGAGAGTTCCCATCGCACCAGAGAAGGTCCATGAACTGGGAACCCAGATATGGCCCTAACTGTCAATGAAGCTTACAGAATTGCATTTGCAAATGAAAGCAAATTACCCTTACCATTGAACTAGAGAATGATGGGAACAAAGACGAGAGTTCTTGCCAAAGAAAAACGTTATACATTAGGTCTACTGCAGAGCAACATGGTCAATAGAATCTTCAATAAATAGAGGTGAAATGCTATGAGCAAACCATTCTGTCCCTTCTCACTCTCTCTCTCTCCCCAAAAACAAGCACATAAGAAGATTTGTGTGTGTCCATGTTTCACTAACGTCTTTTAACTGAAGTATGCCTGAAAGTGTAGCTTACCGCTTGATATTGCTTCATGAACCAGCTGAGGGCATATGAAGTGCACATGACAGTCTATAGCCCCTGCAGTTACAATTAATCCTTCCCCAGCAATAACCTCAGTGTTAACCTGAGAGTTGATGGTCTAAAGATCAGCCATGAATACAGCAGGTAATTATACCTGAGCACTGCTTTCATATGAAAAAACTTACACCGATGATCATATTAGGGAAAACACCTTCCATGGTATCTGGATTGCCTGCTTTCCCAAGTGCAACAATAAGACCATGTTTAATACCAATATCTGCCTTAAATATGCCAGTGTAATCGATGATTACAGCATTTGTTATAACAATATGTAAAGATTCAGCTGGTGGACGCCCACATGATTGACCCATGCCATCTCTTATAACTTTTCCCCCACCAAATACACATTCATCACCATATACAGCAAACTCTCTTTCTATTTCAGCGTACAAATTTGTATCACCTAGCCGAATTTTGTCACCGGTGGTGGGGCCATACATGTTAGCGTATGCCTCGCAAGAAATTGTTGTGGTGAAAGCAGAATCTTCTCCGGTCACACCTTCACTGCAAAATTAGTCAAGTCAAGGCATTAATATTTTCCTATTCAATTATTTAAGCAGACGACAGTTACTAATCAAGATCTTTTGGGTGACATGAAATAGAAGTAAAACAGGTAGCAATAAGTTTCTAGCTGAAGTTGTAAACCTAGCATTTTCATCTTCCAGATTCCCATAACCGTCTATCCTTATAGTTTCCATCACCATTTCGACATTGGCATCATCAACTGGACCATCAACAATACCATTTCCTCCTCTGATCACTTTCCCAGCACCAATGCTGACAAGCACAACAGTTTTACATTCTCCGGGCTGAAAAAGGAAAACATGTCTCAGTCAAAGAATAGAGTAAGATTAGATCAAGTGCTGATCCTTGCTTGGCCCATGAATGCGCCAAATGAACATTTAATTTAATTCACTTAATGAAAGTTTATGGATGAACTCTTATCTCTATATCTGCTAATGAGATAAATAACACTTAGAACAACCCTCTTATATTAATAAAATAATAGCTTCAAAATTCCTACAATTAGATTTTCATAATGAATGTTTATCATTATAAAATTTGAGGCTTCCTCCAAAATCAGTGTCTACCATCACAATTTAATTACTGCCAGTGTACTGAAACACATCAGAGCCTGCTTCTTGTCATTGATTAAGAAATGATAATAAGAAGCATCTTTTTAAGAAATAACGTGAGAGTATTACTGTTAATTTTTACTAGAAAGAGATTAATCTAGACAGGATGATCAATAAATAACTGTTAATTGCACTTAATTAATGAATGAAGGTTAGAATGCTCAACCTCAAATCTTGTAGCTGTTCCTGCTGGTATATTTAGGCGCATGCCATATGCTTTCCTTCGATCAAAAACTAAGGAGGGGTTCACCTCAATAAAGTGATAATGGCTTCCCACCTGAAAAACTGCTGAATGATTAACACAAGAAACAAAAAAAATCTTTCAATTCAACTTCAGAAAAAACAAAATAGCAAAAAGATATTGGTTAGCTTGACCATTATATGGTAGCTATAAAGAATTGTAGGTTGATTCTGTTGGGTTAAAGGCTTCCAATCCAATCACACCAGCAGAAGTGAAATCAAACAATAAATTAAACACACAAGAGATAACAATTTAACGTGATTCGGTTCAACTGACCTACATCTACGGATGAGAAATAAGATCCACTAGTTGTAGAGAATTACAAACATACATCAAATCATCAACCTCACTCAACAATCAATACTCATAAGACACTCTCAATCTCCTCTAGTCCTATGAAGTATTCTCTACCCAAACAAACACAAACCCAAACTCTTGTGCACCCTTTCAACACAACCAAACACATACCCATATGTTCCCATACATCATACCTATGTGGACCCTCTCAATCTCCTCTAGTCCACTCACAAACAAACATACATACCTATAAGACGTAGAGCCCCAATACTCCTATGGGGTGTCTATCCCACAAAATCCTACAACTCTCTTACATCTTTTTCTCATACCTAACCTTATAGAGACTTCACCTATTTATAATCATACAAACTTGCCCATTAAAAATCCCTCTCCTTTTAGAATTCTTCTCTTACAAGTCAAACTTACCTATTAAGAATCCTCTTTTTCCTGAAATTCTTCTTTTGCAAGTCTTCTTGTCCATTAAGCAATCTCTGACAAATCTCAAATAAATCTCTAACAAATCTCAAACAAATCTCTTATGGGATTTGAGTCAATATTCCCAACAATCTCCACCTTGACTCAAATTTCATCAATCATCTATCTTCATGTTAGACATGCTTGGCTCCACTTGCAATAGAAGTCTTACAATCATCTTCTCTTCTCTTGTGTCTTCACGCTTCATATAAACCAATCATCAATCTTTAAAACTTGAACTCGAACTCTTTTCTTAAATCAAGCTCCTCTGGACTTGCTTCTTCCCATGTCTCAACCATGCACTTTCCACATCTGAAACCTTTAGCTCTTCTCACATCTCGAACTTTAAGCTCTTTCACATCTCTTCCACATCTTGAACTTTCAGCTTTGATACCATTTGTTGGGGAATACCACAGCTCTGATACCATTTGTTAGGCTAAAAGCCTCCAATCCAATCACACCAGCAGAAGCGAAATCAAACAATAAATCAAACACAAGAGACAACAATTTAACGTGGTTCGGTCCAACTGACCTACATCCACTGATGAGAAATAAGATCCACTAGTTGTAGAGAATTACAAACATACATCAAATCATCAACCTCACTCAACAATCAATACTCATAAGACACTCTCAATCTCCTTTAGTCTTATGAAGTATTCTCTACCCAAACAAACACAAATCCAAACTCTTGTGCACCATTTCAACACAACCAAACACATACCCATATGTTCTCATACATCATACCTATGTGGACCCTCTCAATCTCTTCTAGTCCACTCACAAACAAACATACATACCCATAAAACGTAGAGCCTCAATACTCCTATGGGGTGTTTATCCCACAAAACCCTACAACTCTCTTACATCTTTTTCTCATACCTAACCCTGTAGAGACTTCACCTATTTATAATCATACAAATTTGCCCATTAAGAATCTCTCTCCTTTTAGAATTCTTCTCTTACAAGTCAAACTTACCTATTAAAAATCTTCTTTATCTTGGAATTCTTCTTTTGCAAGTCTTTTTATCCATCAAGCAATATCTGACAAATCTCAAATAAATCTCTAACAAATCTCAAACAAATCTCTTATGGGATTTGAGTCAATATTCCTAACAGATTCTATGTACACATTGACAGAGTGGTCCATAAAACAAAAGAACCAAAAGTGACTTTTAATTAGCCAAACTCTCAACAAGAAAAATAAATCATATCAATCATAAAAGATAAGTTTGCAACACCTGAATTGGCCGATCTCCATTGTTAGTGACTTTGAGTCTTATTGCTTTCCTTCCGTGATTAAGTGTGACACTCCCCCCTTTGAAGATCATGTCACCAAGGACCATCTTATCTTCCATTTCAAGAAATTTCTCAGGTGAAGGCACTGCATCATCAATGTTCTTCTTTTAGTTCCCATTGGGCACTTTATGTACTCAACCAGTAGCAGTTCCAACTAAGCTGCATAATCTACTAAAATCTTCAAGTATAGAAGATCAGTACTACATAAGACATTAATATATATCAAATTAAACTTGCTGTTCGGATTTAAAAAGCCAGGTAGGTTAGAACCAAAAAGAAAAAAAAAGAATTGTATCTTGATATGAAAGTAGTTTGGTCTCCAAGCCTTTAGCCTAGTAGTTAAAGGTGCTTAAGGTCACATTAAGGGCCTAATTTTGAACCAAACCTCTCCCTTCCTCTTACTTATATTAGGGCTTTGTTCTCGTAATGTAAAAAAAAAAAATACACTTTGAGCTTGAGCCTTGTTCATTTATCTAGGTCAAGCATGCAAACATCTTTGCAGAAAACTAAGAACACTCTACTAAGGAAGGGATTTTCATAATAACATAATATATGGTACCTATATTCTTGGGGAAGCAGACATTTCCAAAACTATGAACTAAGGTAAGCCTTTACCAGGTAGAAAAGAACCATGTAAAGCAAGGTCCAGGTTTACATTTTCACTAGCAATCACATCATGAATACTGATTAACTTTGTCCCATCAGGAAATGTCCCTTCAACCTACATTGAAATTACTATTAGTTTATGGAGCTGCTGATTTTGACTGAAAAAAAGTTTTAGGAAATAAGCTGAGAAAGTCCAGAGCAATGATGTTTCATGCACTCTATTTTAGGCTTTTCTAGAACATTAATTGTAGGGTTGAAAAGAACAAACAAGTTAATGCTTAAAACCGCACTCTCTTAAATGGATAACGTATGAAACAATGAATAGCCTTAGAACTTCGAAGCCAACAAGCAATTAAAAATATAATTCAGAAGATATACGTATAAATACCAAATAAGGATTACCACATTTCGGATAAACAAAATCATAATAAGAAACAGATAAATGCAAACTCTTGCTTCGCTTTCTTATATACAAATCGGATGGACAAATCACTAGCCAAGCTGTATGCTCTTTTTGGATAAAAACATACACTGATTATTGATTAATTGAAAAAGAAAATTCAATACCAGCTATGATTACTGAAGCATGATACCTGAACAAAATCCAATAAATGTGGAACAGCAGGAAGAACTTGCCTCCTGTTTAAACATTGTTTATTAGTAGTATTTCTTCAAAGCACATCATTTGAGCTTCTTACAAACAACTACTAAAGCAAACATGATAAAGGCTTCATACCTTTCCAGAAGTTGTCGACCAATGTCCATCAATTCTGTCACACTCTTGTCACCGTCACGAACAAACTCCAGAATCTATGATGAAAACATAAGAAAAGAGATATGAAAGCTCATTGTTCTTCAACCATCTCTAAAAAAATTAAAAAAAGAGATTTTGTACACAGATATTACAGGCATGTAACTGACTTAGCTCAGAATCCATTAATTCGATTATATGAAAAATTTCCATTGAAGTCCTTATTTACCACTCCACTCTATGAAGAGATAATGAAACTAAATATCCTAAAGATAGATATTATCAATTGCATAACAACACCCAATTTTATTTTAACCAAAAAAAGTGAAACATACAAAAATGCTCGTTTAGGGAAAAAAGCTCAATAGAATCTGATGATGAATAATCAGATTATAAAAAACCAGTATAATCAGTAGGCAGATAACTTTTAAAATTAAGTTCATTCATGAAAATGTAAATCGTAGCTTGTATTTTTGTAATACCTCAGCTTAAATGATAATTAGGCTAGAGTAATACCAAAGTCCATCAATTTATTAAGAGATTAATTAGTAAAAAAAAAGAGTTCAAATATTAAATGAAAGAAAACCTAGCTATGAAACAGAAAGGAAATATGAGTTTTTCTTCCTCATCTTTTTTAGAGTTAGAGAGCATGAAAAATTAAATTAGAGATTCAAAATCCGATGCTACAATCGAGTTAATCTACTAAAGATGAGTATATGCTATCTTTTTATTTAAGAAATATACCATGTTGGTAGCTATTATTTGAAGTTGAAATTCTGAAAGAAAAATCAAGAAAAATTATGAAATCTTTCATTAATCTTCATAATCAATTTGAGTAAATTATTAGGTTTTATTTACTTCATGTTATTAAGATTTAATGATGATTATTGAGTGAATTTTAAAGGCTGAAAGTGGGGATTTGAATTTTTAAAGGTTTAAGAAAAAATTTTATTTTTGAATAAGATGCTATTATTTACAATAGTATATTAGAATAATATTTTATATCAAGGATTAGATATTGCTATGATTATTATATATAGTTGGAAAGTATGTTAAATCTACTTTCTAATGAAATAAATGTAAATCAAATTTGAGTCTCCTATGAAGATTTGTCTAATTTTTATTTAAGAATATACAAGTTGTATGCTAACATCATTATGGTTGAATTACGAAAATTATTTGAAATTTTATACAAGGAATTAAGAATTGAGCCATACATGTTTAAAAAGATTATTGAGTCTACTTTCTAACAAAATAAAAAGAATTGAATTTAGAATCTCTTATGAATAAATATGTAATTTTTATTAAAAAGTATACGTGCTATCTGGTGGCAGCATATGACGTGGATTGCAAAGTTTATTATAATTAATCTATAAGTAATTACAATGTGTGTCATATATGGTTAGAAAGCTTATCAGGTTTAGTTTTTAACTCATTAAAGAGATTTTAATTTCGATTTAGATATATTGAGATATGATCATTTTAATAAAAGGAGGTCAGGCTATTAGTATTAGTTAATTAAGTTAATTTTTGTATAATTTAGTTGTTTTGGTATATATGGTCTAAAAAAGAATTGATCAATTTTTGATATGTTGAAATGATTTTGAATAGTCAATTAATTATTATGGGAGAAAAACTAAGTGGTGAAATTGAAAGAAGATAAGTAGAATTTCACACATTTTATTTGTTTTCAAACATATGTATATATGTATGTTTCTAAATGAGTAAATATTTTATTTTCTTATTTTCAATATATGAAAATAGGATTAAGCATGTGATTATTTTATATTTTTTCTATGTAAATGATGGATCATGCTTATGAATGAAATGAGAAAATAACTTGTGTTTAATAAACAATTTTATGATAGCTACGTTTTTACATTCCTGAAAAGTGAGATCATCGACATCAAAACTAGTTCTACAGCCCTGATTAATGGGTAATAATAGTTAGTATAGATATGATCATACGGCCTTGCTAACGGATTATAATAGTTAGCGTAGGGCCCTAGCTAGTAGAATATAATAGTTAGCAATGATCATGAAGATAAAATTATCCATATGGTCAATGTCACGAGTAATAACAGTGATTATAACTAACAATAAACTAATGATAATGATGATTTATGATGATGATGATGATGATTTTTTAAAAATTGATCAATGATTTATATATGAAGATAATTTACGATGATTTCTAAAGATTGATTAATGGTTTGATTTGATTACGGTATTCAAATGACACTATATATTACAATGTTTTAAGAATTGACATGTTTTAATGTTGATTTATGATTTACGAAGATTGATTAATGGTTTGATTTGATTACGGTATTCAAATGACACTATATATTACAATGTTTTAAGAATTGACATGTTTTAATATTGATTTATGATTTACGAAATATTTTACATAACGATGATTTTTGAAATATTTAGATATTATGATTTAATGAATATTTTTTAATGATCTATATGATATGTATAAAAATGATGTTTGATCTGGTAAGGTATATAAATCTATATTCGTTGAGCTGTGATTTGTTCATTTCCCTTTTTTCTTTTTCTTACAGATGAGTCAATGATAAATTTAGTTAGTCTTGTGAGAAATTAAAAGATCAAAAAGAAAAGATTACTTATTCGTTGGAGATAATATTAGCTAATGAGATATTATTAATGGTTTTGTATTTTATATAGTTTGTATTTGGATATGTAGAGATGCATCTTAGTTAGATTAAAGATATAAATTTTAATTGGTAGATTATTTTATTGAAAAATTTTAGAATGGTTAAGAAAAAAACCTTTGTATTACTTTTACGCTATATTTGGATAAATATTAATAAAAGAAAGAAAATAAAAAGAAAATAACGAAAAAGAAAGTTTTTTAAAAGAAAAAATTGATACATATAACTTTTGTTTGGATAATTAAAATTAATAAAAGAAAGAAAAGAAAAAGAATTCTAACAATTATTATTTGGATAAAGAGTAAAAAAGAAAGAAAATGATTCATTATAATAATTTTTTTCAATTATAACCTTTCATTACTTGTGATTTTAAAGCACTTTTAGATCATAATATATTTGTTATCTTGTCTGGTCTCATAATTGTTGCTATATCAATTGTATTTAATAAAGTGAAATAGAAAATATTTTACAAACATGCATTGATAGATTTTGACTAATTTGTCATCTCATAAGCCCAAAAAATATATCTATTCATATTCAATCATTCATCAAAATCAAATCATCAAAAAATTATAAAAAAATTTTATATTGAAAGAGATGTAAAACTTACTTAAAAAAATGATAGTTTTGAAAAAATTACAAAATTATTGTGATCTGCTTAAGTTTTTTTTATTAAATTTTTAATATTAATAAAAAGATAAACATAATAGTTTTTTTATAAAAAAAATATTTTTCAACTTTTTTTCCCTAGCTTTTTCTTCAAATTAAAATATTAAAAAAATTGAGTTTAAAAGGAAAATCAAAAGTTATTTGATTTCTACCTTTTTTCTTTTTTTTAAATTAAAAATTTATCAAAACAAAGGAAATGAGGTTTTGTTTCATTTACAATCTATTACTTTACTTTCTTTTCATTACTCTCATCTCAATCCAAATAAACTGTTAAATTTTATTTTAAGGTAATATAATTGTGTTGTGTTTTGGTCTTGAAGTGTGATAATTTTAATACATATTTTATACATATTTGTATACGTGGAACAGCAATAAACAAATGTAGCAAAGTTGAGAAATCACCTGAGAGGCAATGAGAGCAACAGTTTCAGTATAATTGAGCATAAGCCCTCGTGCCAGACGCTTCTGGGCAAGGTACCCCGCGTTATGAAGGCCTAGCTTCTCAACTTCTCTTGGTGTTAGTCTCATTCTTGCAAAGTCAGTGCCCACCGGTTCTCCACTACTACAATCCTATTAATCAAAGATGATTACTGAAAAGAGATTAGTCCTTTTTTTATTAGAGTCAAAACCCAAGAAAAAAAAGGCTAAACTTTATCTGTTTGACCAACAATGGCAGATAATTCTATAAACAGAATAATACTATGAAAGAGTAGCATATAATAATAGTCATAAAACATGCTTTGAGAAATTAGTAGGAAAATGAATTTCCAAAAACAAATGGTGAAATGATTATAGGAGAAAAAGTTGAAGTCTTGCCTTTGGAATGGTTGGAAATGTGCCGAAAGACCGATTACCATTCAACCAGATAATGAAAGGAGAGAGCTAGCGGCCGTTGGAACTAGATAGCTTTGGCCTTTTTGCCATGCAAAACTTGCTCTATAGAGAGCTTGTACCTTATGCTGCCAATGTTGTACTCTACACGTGGATTCGTGAAAGAGGTACGATATTTTACTTTTTTTTATCACGTGTTTTAATAACAATAATAATTATTATTATACTAATAATAACAACATAATGCGAATAGCCTTTTTAACTAATATCTCGTCTTAATGTATATTATGGGAAAAAAAATGTGTTATTCGAATTTGGAGACATCCCAGTGGCGTAATCAAAAACTTCCTGCGGGTCAAAAATCTTTCGTCATATTTTTTATTTTCTGGTTGTTTTAATTTTTTTTAGAATTATATATTTTTATTTTTAAACACCAAATAGTAGTAGATATAAATTATTTATATTAAAAATTAAGAGTTTGATAAAGTTTAGATGCATATTATTTTTTTATGTAAATTAAATAAATAAAGACAAAATTTTGAAGTAAATTAAAATCTTAAAAAATCATAAATGGTATCCTAAGCTACAAGTTAAATAACCCATCTTCGAAAAGAATTTGGAAAGTAAAAAAAAACAATTAAAGCTTAATAAGCAGACTCTCGTTAACCAATAATTGAAGCTACGTGTGCCAAGCACTTAGGAAATTCAAAAAGAAGAGAAGAAAATTAGACACATATGAGGTATAATAAATGGAATTTAAATTAATATGGTATTAAGTTTAAATTTGAGATTTGAAATAATTTTAATTCGATTTAAAATAAAAATTGAATTATTTAAACTCATTTGATTAACATGTAAAAATAAATTTAATTTTTATATTCGATAAAATTTTAATCATTTGTATTTATGTTCAAAGTTGAATTCGAAATATTTTATTAATTAAAATATAAAAACTAAATCAAACTCATGAATTATTTAAGTAAAATATAAAAATATTTAAACTCGATTTGATTTATAAATTAAATTATTCAAATTTAAATTTAACTCAATCATAATTAAATCAAATTAAAATTTTATTCAAGTCAAATTTAAATAATTTATGAATATTAATATGTCATTTATATCTTTAAAAAATATATATAATGTGTGACTTCGTAAATAAATAGTTAAGGTGATAAAGATTGAATATTGTTTATAAATTTTAAATTTGATTTTTATTATTAATAAATAATTTATGAATTTAACATAAATTTTTAAAAAAAATTGCAATCTATTTTAATTTTAAATTGAAAAAATCTCTCTTCACTTTAATTTTTTTATGATAAAAAGAAAAAGACAGCATATGAGACAAAACAAAATGCTAGTTGTTGAGTTTATTATATCATGATGAGTGCAGTTCAGAGACATTTTATTACAAATATCACTCTGCTTTTGCAGTTCCTTTGGATTACAAGTTAGAAGAAGTGGTCCTAGGTTGGTGAACTTGAGATCTGATGGCCCGTGAGGCTGGTAGTGGTGGCCGCAAGGGCAATCGTTTGTTTCCCTTCCCCACTTTCTTTATTTTAGTGGTATTTATTTATCTGTTTAAATGTGATAAATCTCTTTTCCTACGAGAAAACATAAATCTCATTTCTTTCCAGACATAAAAGTTGGTAGTAGCCTTTATTCAGAAAAAAAAAGTGTTTAATGTTTTTGAATTAATATTATGAAAGGATTTTAATTTATAGTGAAATATTTAATATAATATTTAAATTTTAAAAATTATAATTAATATAAATATCATATTAATCAATAAATTTATAATTCAAAATATCACATTAAAAATTTTTATATTTCAAGTATGAAATTAAATATTTTATTATAATTTTTATACTTCAAGTGTGAAATTAATTATTACATGTCTATTTTTTATGATTTTTGAATCACATTATTTATAAAATATTTCATTAGTATATTAAAAATTAATTTGAATAAAATAAAAATACTATGTGGATATTTAAGATGTAAAAATGTACACATGATGTGCCACATTAGAAAAAATATATAATTTGTTTTTAATGAAATTTGTACTAAAATAAATATTTTTAAAATATTAAATTAAATTAAAAAACAGATTATAATTTACCAAGTAATTCTAAGTTTTGATAATGGTATCATCTGGAATATTCTTCCCATAAAGATGATTCGCATAAAGACGATGTTATCAAAACTTAAGAATTTGGAAAAGTCTTGGACTTTTCTTTGTCGGTGATAAAAAGCTCATTATTAATAAAAGTTAATTATTACTAATATTATTAGCAGCCAAACAAATTTTAAATGAAATTTTTTAAATAAAATTTGGGGAATTTTTTAAAAATGATTAATTTAATAAAAATTTTAAATTGATAAATTAATAAAATTAAATGTGAAAATTAATAATAGATAAAAAATTAAAAATATTGTTTATAATTTAAATTTAATCAATAATTATTTAATAATAAAATTTTTGTCAACATTTTTATTAAAAATATTTATTTAAAAAAATATATTAAAATTTAATAATTTTTTTAAAAATTTTACATACTTAATATATATATATATATATATATATATATATAATGAGATCATTCAATTTGGATTGTTGTCCGCATTTTCTCTTAAGTTAGCGTCGGAAATTTTGAAAGTTAACAATATTCCTTTGTGAAAATTAAGAAATTATCTATAAAAAAAAATTAGTCATGCAATTCGAAAGTATGCATCAAATAAAAAAGAGTTGCACACATTAATTTTTTATGTGAAGAAATCACTTTTTAAGTTTTGGAGTTGGGCGTCAACTTGGGTTTTCTGGCATGAATTTGGGTTGGATTCAGTCAACGATAAAAGCTCAAAGTTGGACTTCCTTGTGGGGCCCATGACAATAAAACTAAAGATATAGAAGAAGATTAAGAGGCCTTTGCTTACGTGATTGACGCTACTCTAATTATTTGCAGTTACGATTTATAATTGAATTTTTAAAAATTTAATGAATAAAATGACACAAGTGACGTGATGAGAATATTTTTATTACGAAATTCAAATGAACTTTATATCAATGATGGAAAATAAAGATTGATATTAAATTATGGAATAATTGGCAAATCTTAATTTTCTAGTAAAGCGTTTAAAATGATACCGTCAACCTAAAGTCCACGATATGTTCCAATGAGATTTTTGCAATATAGCTTTAGAATATAAATGTCATTATCATATAGTTTTTCTTAAAATTAACAGCAGCACTAGTGCCATAATTGTTTTGTCTCCACCGACTTGTAATAAGAAATGTAATGTCAATGTAATTCCATTTTAAAAATTTAAATTGATGAGCTGATAGGAAATATTTAAAACTATTATTCTAAATGCCCCATGTCATACCCCAATATTAAAAGAATTTAAGATTTGTATTTTTTAGATGTTAATATAAAAATATAAAAACATTATTTAAGATGTTACTATAAAAATAATCATATATCATATACATTATATTACAATATATATATATATCTGATAAAATTTGTTTACGTAGACGTTTAAATAAGCGATCTATATTATTGATATATAGAATAGTACTAAATAATTTTATTCAATCAATTATTAAATTTTTAAAAATTTTTAAAGTTTCACAATTTACATTTGGCTCTTTAAAAGTATATAAGTTTTATCTTAATTTAACATCTTACACCTTACTTTTACCTATATATATAAAATATAAAATTCAAATAGTTTTTGAAGGTTAAATTCTTAACTTTTAGGAATCATTAAAAATTATATACAGTCTAAATCAATATTCATATAAATTTAAATAAATAAAATTTATAGTTGAATAACCATTGTTTACCAATTTTTTTGGTCTTATTTTCCTTTGAATTTTTTTGAAACATTATTTTTCTATGATTTAAAATAAAAAATATATATTTTATCTTAATTTAAAATTAAACACATATATAAATTTAAAATTATACTAACTTCTTTTATCTTAATTTAAAATTCAACTTTGATAAATTATATTTTTAAATTTTTAAATTTTTTTAAAATTAAATAATTATCAAACATATATTTATGATTTTTTTTTCACAATCAATTTTTTTTTTTATAAAATATAAAACAATTAGATTTTCGTTATAAAAAGTTTGACATGATAAAATTTCAAAATCAAACATAAAATTTTTTTCATGATATAACACATGTGTAAATCTTAGTTTTCATACTAAAATAATATATATATTGTAAAAATTATATATAATTGTAAATAAGAAATTAACTTTTTTTATTAAGATTTTTATGTAATTTTATTTTTATAATTCAAAACTTTCATAATATTTATTTAAATTCTTTCATAGTAATTTATATACCAACAGCTTTTTGTAAATTTAAAGTAAAAATTATAAATGATTAAAAATATTTTTATTTATTTATATATAATATAAAATTAATATGAATTAAAATTTTAAATTATAAAAAATTTCGTGCATGGCACATATAAAAAAATAGTTGATAATATAAAACATTCTTTTGTCAACTATAATGACTTGTGAATGAACTGTAATTTATGTATATCCATCAACATTATAATTTTGTAGATGTCAAAATCAATCTTTGCTATGATTAGATGATTATTAAAAATTATTAATTTTTTTTAATAAAAAATTTTAATTCAAATAAAACTTGAATCAAAATCAAATTTATTAAATATTATC